GTTATTTGACAGGTGCTAGAATTTCTATGCAATTTCTAACAGCTGTATGGACCACAGCCTCCTATCTCTTCTCCCTAAGGGACAGTTTGCAGCGGATATGTGAAGATGTGCTTGGTGCTTTTGTCTCACAAAGAATAGGCAGGCTCAGGCTTGGGCTGAAACCTGGGAACAGGTATTCCTCCTATTCTGCTGCCTTACACTGCTTGTTCCCCTCTGACACCTAACCTTTGCAGGGAGGGCAAAGCCCTAATGCATAATCAGGGGACAAAGAAGTCCACAAGGGTATGTATGGAGCAGCTTTATTCTTACTTTTTTTTTATAAGGTTATTGAAGGAACAAATGCAATATCCAAAAAAGCAAAATCCCTCATCCCCCAGGAAATGCCGGGGCTGGTTGCTTCCCAAGTCTCTTTTTAACAGTCTGCTTTGGATTTCAGGGGATGAATTTTCCTGGTCAGAGCAAAAGCTGGGGGGCAGGCAGGATGAGGCTTTCTTCCTTACTGGAAGCACCAACTGGATCAGGTTGTAATGCTGAGCATGTGATGGGGAGAAGATGAGAATGCAGCTGTACTTGATGCAGCCTTGCTGCATCAGTCTGCTTTATGTTCAGTGGCAAATTTAGCAGAGAGGTTGAAAGCTGCACAAACTGCAAATTCAGCAGGAAGCTTTTGAGCATCACAACTGGCTGACAGACTGGCAGGCAGGACATCTTGTTTCTGAGTAAAAAGAAAGCTTTCTTCAAGGAACTGTTTTTTTTTTTGCCATTGTTTATGAATGTGTTAATGGACCTTGCTGATGCTGTGTAAGCTAATTCACAAATTGCATCAAGTTGGGTGAGAATTTGCCTGTAGTAGGATTTTACAGCCCCAAGTGCTGGCTGTTGAAAGTTCATTATCTCTAGTCTGAAGAAGAGCTTGAAAAGCCAACCCGTTTCTTTTAGCTAATTTATCGACTTTAAGTACAATGTACCTCTCCAATCTGTGTTTACTGCAGCAACTGAGACGAAACCGAGTGAGCACAGTTTTGGACATCTCTGTTTATACACTACACTTGTATAGGTTTTATAAAATTGCATTATCATTATTTTAAGTAAATTAAAAAAAAATCAGTTTACCAGATGCAGAAATCACCATAACCAGTATAAGTCTGGAAAACTTTTGTATAACTTTTCTTATGAGGAAAGCACACAAATCATGTAAGATGGTACAAACAAGATCTCTACTAAACAGCTGGGGAGGACGGGGAGACAGGGCGGGAGAGATTTTGCAAAATAAAGGACATCTGAAGTTCTGCCTTTACATAAACACTGAAGTGTCAGGGTAATTGAGCTTCTAAGCTAGATCATTCCTCAGAAAACACCTTTCATCCTCACATACCTGTAAGTTAAGATACCTAACTGCTACTACTCTTTAGCTTAAACCAACAGAAACAATTTTGCATTTATTAGGAGCAAAACTGATAGTTTGAAGGGAAACATACTTTATAGGCACAACGTATCCTCAATTGGTAAGCTGTATCTCCATGGTAAAATAATGGTATGATTTCAGCTGTGCAGGCACATCCTTCCTAGTTGTGCTCCGGTTAGCACGTATTCTGACTGCCAGAGAGAGGGGTCGGTGGAGAATGGGCATGGTGGACAGGGCTGGTCTGGTCTGTGCAGCAGCCTTTGCAGGCTGGTTTAGATGTGCCTGGGGCTACAGTAGATATTTGCTGATACTGCTGGCCAGGCTAGATGAGGTCTTCCACTGGCAATCTTGTCTTATCTTCCTTTCTTAAGTGGGTGGTTCTCCATGGATATGGTCACTGATGGGTTTGCAGCTTGTGATAAGGTTTATATATGTGTTGCTAATTGCAGGTTCCAACTGAGGCATTTCTCATAGGTGGGGTGTTCAGAGCAGCTCTCTCTGGTGGTTTCTCTTGTGTTTCTTGTAGTGTGTCACCCTTTAATCTTCTCCCTGGTTCAGGTGCCACCAGAGTTACCCTCCTCGAAGCAGCTGCCTGATGTAATCAGTTACACAGCTGGAATAGCTAGGGGTGCCCCATCATGGAAGAGTGCCTGATGGGACCAGGGGAGCTTACCTGTGCAGAGCCTCACTCAGGAGGCTTGGTTTTCTTGGCATATATGAAAATAGAAAATATTTATCTCCTTTGGTTATGGGGGGGGCTTTGCTACCCTTCTGTCACATTTGGCTAAAATTGTCCAGGAGATTTACCAGTTGTGGAAAAGGAAAGGGAATTTGGGTGCACAGGTCTCATTTCTCAGGAGAAACCCTCCTTCCCATCCAAATGACCTTAATTAATAGAGTAGTTTTCTTGAAGCTATGGCAGTTGTTTTGGCTGAGTGCTTTGAGTATAATCTTGGGAATCACGATAATTAGATCTGACCATTAACCTCCCACAGAGCTGATTATGGGCATGGGGGTGATGAGGAAGTTTTTTATTTTTCTTAGTGCTATTGTTTGAGTCTGTTTGCAGAGTAAACATAATGAGTGTGTCGGTTGATTATGCTGCAGACCATCTCTCAAGACAGACCAGGCAAGTATTTAGTTTTTAAAGGTGAAAACCTGGGTTTTACAGAAAATGTGCTCTGGGGAGGTGTTGGGGAGGCTCTGTGTCTATGTACCTGTGGCCTTTCCAGCCATCCCAACTGTTTATTTAGTGAGTGGCTGTTCCTAGAGTATTTATCTCCTCTAGTTTAGGTTTTCTTCAACACAATCATATACAACACCTCTGAGGGACAACACTCTCTTCATTGATTTAAGATTGTCTTGCGTAAGTTAGAGCAGCAGAGATTGACTCCTTCCCTCCAGCACTTCTGCAGACAAGCACAGCCCAGGTCTTAAAATGTGTGTTTTTAAAGGGCATATCACAGTCCGTCTGTAGTGCTCATGACTCAGTTATGACTATTGTGTGGCTATGGGTGCTCTGAGTAACAAAAGGCAGTTATTGATTGTAAGGGAATATTGCTGCAGGAAGGAGAATGAGTGATATTTTGTGCCTTGCAATGGGTAGATGCCTATGTAGTGAAGCAGCTCGGGTTTAACTGAAGGGGAGCTTTGTTGAGGAAAGGAGAATCCTTTCCTGGAATAATTGCCTCTGAGCCAGGGAGAACTGGCTACTCCAGAGTGGGAACAGGCCCTCAGCTACCTCTGGCACAAACAGTGGGGCTGTTGCAAATCTGATTTGAGTCGCTAACAATAAGGGATTGAAAAGGCAAGCAGACCTAGCATTCTCTGTCTTCCCTTGAGCTTCCAATTTATGCTTCAGCTTCACCTGCTGAAGCAAACCTGGGACAACACAAATGTATATGTGAAAACAAAAAGCATAAAAATCTGTAGAAGAGATGGCAGAAGGTCAAGCAGAAAGGCCTTTGGAAAAGAAAGGACATTTCTAAAAATCCAGATATTTTAGATGAAAGGAAAATATAATCTGAACTGAAATTATTGGCTGTCTTTTGTGATACAAAGCTACAAAATGCTTCCCCCCCCCCCGAGCTCATAAAACTGTGCTCTGTGTGCCAGAAGGATTATTTTGTTTTTCGTTAAATAAAGAAACTTGTAAACAGCGCTCTGTAGCATAGAGATGATAATCTCCACTGTCCCCCTCCTCTTCCTTAAACACAGCAGCACGCACTTTGCAGGTTGGGCTCAGGCAGCAGCAGAGCCCTGGAGTGAAGCCCCAGCCTGGTGGTCACTGCAGCCTGGGGGCCAGGCAAGACATGCTCCCTGCATCCAAGAGCATTTACTGTGTGTGTTCAGTTGTGCTTTTATCAAATTCTGTTTCTGAAATCAAATAAAGTGCTCGGTTGGACAGTGTTTGAATGCCACTCTCTGAGCTACAGCAGCCATTTGTTGGATTATGTCTGGGGAGCTGGCACTGCTGCAGGTAGGGGAGAGCAAAAAGAGGAGACTGAATAATAGGTTTTATATGGAAGATGGCAAGAAATGTTTATGAAAGTCACCAGGAATAGCTCCTAGTTTTGCCAGTTAAATCGGTATGTTCAGGTATTCTGCCATCTTTGCAGCTTTCAAATGCAATGTGTTAAAAATTGATCCTTGTAACTTGAGCCACAATTCTTGACTGTTGCAACATACACCCCTCGCTTCCCTGTTACCCTGCTTAATCTGTTTGCCTACTGTCTTGTGTAATAGGAATGCAATTATTTTTTTTGTATAACTCTTTTATCCATAATTTTACTGAACATTTTACAAAAGCAGGTACTATTGTCTTTATTTATGCTTCCATTATACTGTAGATTTCAGCCATAGCTGTGGTGCAGCAGCTTTGCTCGTGATGTACTCAGGCACTGGTCAGTTTGTACCACATTCAGGCTGAAGGATACTGCTCTGCTGCAAATCCCACTTACTAATGGTCTTGTATTGCCATGGGTCTTTAGCTAGATGTGGTGAGTGATAAAGTGTGAATTGATATGAAATATGGTGACTTCTGCTCCATCCACTGGACCCATTACTCATGTCTCATTACAGAAAACCTCTCTGAAATTAGGGACAAATCGCATTCCAAAAGCAGAGAATAGCTCAATTACAGGGTGTACCAGTTGTTAAATACTGAATTATACTCTATTTAGGTGAACACAGGATTAGTATTAGATACTTTTATTTTCATTCATGTCTTCTTATTTTAACATTTCAGTTAAATGTATTTTTCCTTAATCAAGTGTACATCTAACAAAAATACTGGGGCAAAATATTCTTTTATTTTTACTTTTTTTTTTCCAAATAGTTTTTAAATATTTTCATCACTCTCTCTGTATATTAGTAAAAATACATTTGAATTGTTATCACAACATCTGCACACATTTAACTTTTTCTTAAGTACTGAAGAAACATAATGCTGATAAATATTTGTGTCACCAAATTTAATACAGAGGTGCTTGATGTAATCCTGTCACTTTCACTGAGCTATGTGATGTTCTTTGACATGTCTTGTTAATAAAGTAATCCCTTCTGGATCACCATTTTATTCTTCCTGTCTATGCAGTAACAAGCGACTTGTGGCCTTAGTGCCAAATGACACTTCATTCAACACCAGACGAGCCTACACCAGTGAAGATGAAGCCTGGAAGTCGTATTTGGAGAATCCCCTAACAGCAGCCACCAAGGCTATGATGAGCATAAATGGTGATGAGGACAGTGCTGCTGCTCTTGGCCTATTGTATGACTATTATAAAGTAGGTAACTCCATTGTTAATCCTCCCTGCTGCATTAGCAGGGGACTTCTCTAAGAGGCATCAAAAGAGCCTCTTTTCAAAAGCAGAAGTCACTGCATCTTGTTTTTTTTTGTCTCATATTTGCACCAGGCACTCTTTCTGTTTTAGGGAGCCTGTCTGAGGTTGTTATGTGTTTAGTTCTGGAGAGAAAAAACAAAGCCAGAACTCTGTATTAAATTTGCAACCATGGTTTCTTTTTGAGCATAATGTTCTTCCTCTTCCCTTGTAAGAGCATTGGTTGAATTAGCTCCCTTTTTATTTGTGCTTGGATACATGCAGTATACTTTAAAAAGTGCAAAAGGGGAGGCCTTGTCCATCTGTAGGTTTGTCTGCTTTTCTGGTTCATTCCACACATGTTTTAGTTTGCTCTTTAACTGCAGTATCTCTCATCTGACAGTTTCCCATGTTATTTTTATTTGCATAATGATTGCAGTAGGCTGTGTACAAACAGTGAGGTCTACCCCTTGCACTGAAAGTTTGCAGTTTAAGTAGAAAGGTGGAGGACAGAAATGGAGCTGGACACAGAGGCAGGGATCTAAGTCAGTTTGCAAGAGGGAACACTGACACAGGGTTTCATTTTATACCAGGTTCTAAGCCCAGGACTTCACCTACCATTTTGATACCACCTTTCCATTTTGTGTATTTCGTAGTATTTAAGTAGAGCTGTATTTGAGATTTCTGCTGAAATCAGAGGAGAATCCTGCAGGGAGGATCTCTGTGTAATACAGAAATTTCTCTTGGAAACCCAGGCTGACCCCTTTGTACTCTGCAAGTGGAATCAGTGTTGCCTACTAAACACTGAAGTATGAAACTGCTGAACTCAGTACACCTGAAGCCACCTATGCCTGCACTGGGGACACAGTCTTCTGTGAAAGCCAGCAGAACAATGCCAGCCCCCCTTGTAATTCATAAAGAAGTAGCAGGAGTGAAAATTCAAAATCAAAAATCTTTTAAAAACCTTTTCTTTTAGTATTTATTAGTATAAATGCTAAAGGGGGCGTAGGCAAGATGCCATTTACCAGCCCTATGGCTAAATATTACTTTAATTTCTTTACTGATTATATTTCAAGGGATGTTTCTTGCTTTTGTGTTTGTCAGTATCAAAAAGCTTATCCCAGCGAGAAAGAAGAAAGGTTCTTTTCTCTACTTGACAGAGTTGCCACAGTGCCAGAGTCTGAAGTTAATGTGAATTTGTAATACTTGGGATGTGAATGAGCATCTGGAGTGTCGGCTTCTGTCTTAATAATACCTTTGTATGTAGCAGTTCATTAATCTGCTGGATTTTTTAAACAAAACCAGAGAACAACCCTTTTTGTTCTCAAAACTATCTTCTAAGAGACATGTCTCTTCCTTGTTCCAAGCAATTGCAAAAGACTTGGGGTTCAGATGGAATGAGCTGTGTTAATCCCAAAGCCATTTCCAGCATTTAATGTAACTATTTCTGTCTTAAACTGGGAGAAAAGCTTAACTTTGTTATGTGTTGATGTTGATGCTCTCGAACAGGAACTTTAAACATAATTTAAACCTCTGTCCTGTAATGTGGAAATGTAGAGAAATTCCAGTACACCAGATTTTATTGAATTGCCCTTATTTATCATCTGGCTCATTTGTTCTGACATGCTGGGTAATTTTTTGAAGTACATTTTGCAGTCAGTAGGAACTATTTGAATGTAACTGTTTGTTTTTTTTTTTTCTTCTCCTTTTTCTTGTACTAATATTTACCTAAACATACACCCCCCCTTTAGGGATAAATATATGATCTTAACAAGGGAACCAACTTGTGCAAAATGTGGCTTGAATTCCACTTCTATAATACATGAAAGAGTTGTTTTTTTTTTAACCAGCAGGATGCTTAATAGGGAGAGAGGATGTCTCTAGAGAAGGAAAAGCTCTGGCTAGCACTCTGACTCTGCTGCTGTCCTGCAGATATAGCTGGTGTTAACCTTGGCTCCTGTAGTGCATTGTAGTACTGGTTTTCCTCTAAATTCAGGTATTTTCCTGATACTTCCTGGAAGTATTTAAAGATAAAAGGCACAGCTTTAGCCCATTCTTAGATCTATTCTTGCCCTTTAATCTGGAGTTAACTGCTGAGACAGAGTTGATACATGTTCTTTTGTAAAAGATAGAAGTTTTAGCTCCCAAATTGCTGGTTCAGCAAGAAAACAATATGGTCATGGCAGCAGCTTTGCCCTTGGAGATTTCATATCTATGCTGGTGTCAGGAAACTGGTATGTGGGAAGACAAATCTTTTAAGTTGCTTGGTGTCAATTTTGAATCTGTTGAGGGGACAGATTTTACTGGATTTTTAATCCTCATGGCTGTTGATGTACTCAGCAAAGCAGAATTAAGTGTTCTCTGATGACATGTCAACATGCCCTGACCTGTCTGCATGCTGGGAAAGTGAAGGATTCACAAACTTCCCCTAGGTACAAGTTCTGCACCCTCCAGACTGCTCTATAACAGGAGGAGTTAGCTGGTGCTTGTGGTTTAATTGAAAACCCTTTTTTCTCTGAGCTGAAAGGGTCTCCATGCAGAGCTCATCAAAGCATCATGTATTTCTTCTCATCTTTTACTGTTCAGTGAAAAGTGTCTGTGTGTTTGGGAATATAAGCTTTGATTTTAAGATAGCTTGGCCTAGCTTGGTATTGCAAAGGTAAGGACATAGAGTGCTTTGCTCCAGACTGATGTGCCCAAGAACTAGAAAAGAAAACAATACCTACACTGTTTTCCCCTTTGGATTTTTTATTTCTGTTCACAGTTAGCCTCCCAAAGAAAAACAGCTCCTGGCATCTGTGAAATAGACAAAACTGATGTGGTTACATTCTTCTAGTTGTTGCAGTAGAGCAGTCTGAAGCTACAAATACCTGACAGTTGTGTTTACCTGACCCCATGCCTGGTGTTGTTCTCAGGTTCCCAGAGATAAAAGGCTGTTGTCTGTTAACAAAGTGAGTGATAATCAAGAAGACCAAGATAAAAGGTACAGTATTATTCAAAATCATACACCCAGCTACTAACAGTGTTGATCAGTTATGAACTGAAGGAACTATGATAACCCGAGGGTTTATGGGTTTCTTTCAGAAGGTAAAAAGAATGAAGACTGTTTTGGGAAACAAACTTTACTCCTTTTTACTTCTAATTTATTAGAAAACTTGAACATTATTATTAAACATGCAGAAAGTATCATTATTTGTTTGTGTCTTGTTTTGCTGCTGCTGAGAATAGTAAAATCAGATTATATGGACAGTTGGCTATTGGCTGCTTTTCTTTCAATTTTCTTCTAGAATAAAAAGTACATAGTTTGGCCTCAGTAACCTGATTTATTCAGTTTTATTTAACATAACCTAGGGTCTGCCCAGAAGCAAATAAAGTGACTCTTTAAAATCATTTGCTCGAAGTTATTTTCTTACTCTTCTGATTTCAGCCTCCCTCAGGCTAAAAGTTACTTGAAGAGTCAGAGGAAGCTGACTCCTGCCTTTGTTAAGACTTGTGGACAAGAGAGAGTGTATATTTATGTAGAATGATCTAAGTTTCTACATATATGAAGTTATCTTCATGTAAAATGGAGAGAGGCTTTGTAAGATTTATTTCAATGTAGCTAATTTGGGACAACCTGAGAAAGACTATACTGGCTGTGCAAAGTGGAAATTTAAATAGGTAGTGGTATAAATTCACTGTTTCAAAATAGAATATGAATCTTTTTTTTTTGAGGGACAGGTTTTCTTCTGTAAGCACCAGAGAAATTCCCGAGTTGAGTGTGATTGCCTTTGGTGGAAAGCCAAGAGAGAGGAACTGTAATGTCAGAGTGTATCTCCTGTGTTGAAAAGAAAGCAGTGTGTTGCACCTACTAAAAGTTTTATGAACTAACAATTTCATGTGAGTGCAATTGCTATCAGCAGTCACATTGCTTTCAACAGGAGATGTGGGTAGATGTGGGAATGCAGCTTGAGATTACCTTGCAGCTGTTGTAGTTACTGATCTACTCTGATACAATGAGATTCCTGGGCTTGCCCTTACAGAAGAGTGTTGGTACCAGAGTTACACAAACAGTAGTGGCCTGTTAACAGTCTGAAAGAGCATGCATCAGCATATGAACGTTGCTGTTGATATTCTGCCTATTTCATATGCAAATTATTTACTGTGAGTAATCCATCCCTCACCTTACTCTTTATGCTTGTTTTATGCCCAAAGGCTGTTGCACTGATGGTTTGATTTTGCATCCAGATTATAAAACAAGGCCAAAGCAACCTTGGATACTCAGAATTTATTGCAACAGGTCATACTGATTATAAGTCAAATCCAAATGCATAACCTTTCTCTAGCTGTTAGAGCTCTGGATCTCTCTGCTTGCCTCACGATGTCTTTTGCCTAGTATTTGTTAGGGTACTACATCTTACGGCAATGGCTTATTGGAATTGAAAGATCTCCTTCCTGGCCATCTAAGAACATTAAGCTATTTAAGGAGGAGGTTTACTTTTATCAGGACACTTCATAATATTTTTTGGTTTTATCTCACAGAAATTGTCTTAACACCACAGAAGCTCAGAGTAATTTGAGTGGGGGAGAGAACCGTGTGCAAGTCCTGAAGACGGTGCCAGTTAACCTTTCCTTGAATCAAGATCCTTTGGAGTCATCCAAAAGGGAATACAACGCAAATGTGTCTGGGAGCTCAACACCCATCACTGGGACTGGAGTGACTGTGGTTAAAGCAGAGGAGTTCACCCCTGTTTTCATGACCCCACAAGCACACTATGCAAGAGGAGAAAATGAGGAGCACCGAGGTGTTATCTTTGAACCCTATGAAGTGTCCAACATTGCTCCCCACACAAATTATCTCAAAGAAGACCAGCGCAGTACTCCTGACAGCACGTACAGCGACACCTTCAAAGATGGAGGAACAGAAGTAAGTTTTTCACCTCCAGTTAGCATCTAAGAACTCAATAAAAAGCTGTAAACAAGATAAGGTGATTTGAGCTGTCCACAAGTGCCATTAGAGCAACAGTGATGCTTGTTTCAACAAATTCAATTCTACTTCTTGCTTTGTTCCTGTCAGTCTGTGCTCTGATTATAGGGGAGAATCATGAGGCATTTCAGAAGGCAGATTTAAAGTTGTTTATTGGAAACTCTGAGAATAACAGACCCTGATCTTTTGTCTTCTGGGGTATTGCCTCGAGTAGAGGATAGTTGCCACTCTGAAAGAAGATTTGTTTGCTATTAGCAAGACCTGCCTTCTGAGCTATTCGTAACAGTAAGAAATAGCAGCCACTTTGTGACTGGGAAGTTCTTAATGTTCTTCTGAAAGTGCAAATGAGTCTCTGCTGCTAGATAAACCCAAGTAATTTGTTCAGAAGCTGTCTGTTGCACTAAGCTTTAACTCTGCAACATGGGTGAGTGAGAAAAAGTAGTAATATTAGGTGACTAAAGGGGAATGGAGAAGTTAACAGGTAGGGAGACTTTAGTGGGTGTATATGTAGGGGAATGAGAAGAGAGATAAGAAGCTACCTTGTAACTATTTTACAGTTATGCTGAGGCAGACTAATTATAGGGTTAGCTTTAATATGGTGGGTACCTTCTCTCTGCTTTTGCCTGCTGCAGAATAATGCAAACAAGCCAGAAATGTAGAAAGGTAGAAATTATTTAAAGCTGACAGTAGCTCTGCAAATAATGAGAGATATTAGGGGGTAAAGATCTCATTGGTGTTTTCTCCTCTAACTCTTACGAAATTGTAAATGTAACAAAAGTACAAGGCAAACTATATTAGGGCTGAGTTAGTCTGACTGGATATATAAGACATTTACTGTTTGTATGTGTATTATAGAAAAGTAAATTGTCTCCACACAAGTGTCATGGATCAGGATGTCTGGAGGTGAAATCAATTTTCAGATATAGAACACATCTAGGTCAACTACATGAATAATTAATGGAGAAATCTAGCCTGGCATTGAAAAATAAGTAAGATCAAACTTTGGATTAGAAACACTGCTCTGCATTATCAAATCACATCAGCTATTTTTTATTGTTATTGCTAATGGCTCCTTATGTGACTCCAGTGGTACTGTACCTGTGGTTTTCCCAGAGGTGCTGTAGCTGAGTGATTCCATCACATTGGTTTGTTCTGGGACACACTGCAAAGTGCTATCAAACATGCAAAGTTGTTTAACTTGGAGGGAATTTAGATCCATACATTGGCCTTGCATCCCAGACTCCACTTAGCCCCTGCGTGCTGTGACTGCTTTTCCAGCCTTGTGCCGTTGTGTAAGGACAGGTGTATGAAGATATGGGAAAGCATAAAGCAAAATGTTAAAATGTACCGAAAGAGAAACTTGTGCTAAGTTAGTGTTTAAGGTATGGATTACAGTTGTTCTTACTAGTTTTCCTGTTCACTTGGTGATATTGGCTGCAGTAGATTTGCTCTGATACTTGCTCAAAATTTAAAAACATTATGAATATGTATTAAGAAACAGTTTCAAAATATTTCTTGAGTGACTTAGTTCTGTTACACTGAAGAGTGCTGAGTATTTATAGACTCCTGTGGTAGTGCACACTTCAGTCAGTCACTTGCTATATTATTCAGATACAATTTCAACAATTACGTAAATATACCCCCACTTTCTCAGCCTGTCTTCATACAGGAGGTGCTCCAGTCCCCTGATCATCCTCGTGGTCCTGCTCTGGACTTGTTCCAACAGTTCCATATCCTTTTTATGTTGAGGACACCAGAACTGCACACAATACTCCAAGTGAGGTCTCACAAGAGCAGAGTAGAGGGGCAGGATCACCTCCTTTGACCTGCTGGTCACGCTCCTTTTGATGCAGCCCAGGATACTGTTGGCTTCTGGAAACTTCTGGACACAAAACAGCTTTTAATTGTTAACTTCCTGATCACAAAAGAAGTTCTGATGATTAAATGTAATGATCCATCAGTGAATCAGGCACATCAGCAAAAACATGTTTTGGGCAACAGGCAAGCCAAGAAGCAGCAGCAGCAATGCTTATGTAATACAGTATGAATGGGCTCATTTATAGAATTATATAATAGTCAGGGTTGGAAAGGACCTTAAGATCATCTAGTTCTAACCCCCTTGCCATGGGCTGGGACACCTCACACTAAACCATGTCACCCAAAGCCTCGTCCAACCTGGCCTTGAACACCGCCAGGGATGGAGCATTCACAACTTCCCTGGTCAACCTATTCCAGTGCCTCACCATCCTAACAGGAAAGAATTTCCTCCTTATACCCAATCTAAACTTCCCCTGTTTAAGTTTTAACCTTTTACCCTTTGTCCTATCACTACAGTCCTTAATGAAGAGTCCCTCTGCAGCATCGCTATAGGGATTTGCTCAAAAAGACAGAGTACACATCCTTGCTTAGTCTGTGCAAAAAGAGTTCTATTTTTTTTTCTCCAGATTTCTACCTTAATGTAATTGTTTTTGATGTGCAGTCACTCCTTAAAAAATTAGAACACATCTTCTTTCATTTGGTAAAGCCTGCATTTTGCTCAGAGTCTTAGAGAATCACACAATGGTTTGGGTTGGAAGGGACCTTAAAGATCACCTGGTTCCAATCCTCCTGCCATGGGCAGGGACACCTTTCACTAGACCAGGTTGCTTAAAGCCCATCCAACCTGATCTTGAAGGAAAAATACTTTATTATTATGTTAAAGGTAAAATACTTTCTTAGCCTGTCACCACTCCTATTCAATAAAGACAGCATAGCAATCTAAATTTTTGTAAGCATTTAATTGTAGGCAGTAAGGACAGCTGACTACACACATTTTTAAATACAGCAAAATAAAACAAGAAGTGAAGCCTGTAGGAAAAACTGATTTAACTTGAAAATCTGCTTATCTTTGAGACTTGGTGCATTTTTACAGGCTTGTTTTAGAATATATTAATGTGTAAGCAAGCGGTTTCATAAGACAGATGTTTTTCAGCTACGTTCTTGGAGAAGTTAGGTTCTGCAAAACTCTAAAAGTCTGACATAAATGTATTATGAATTTCTAATGTAAAGACCATGTAGGATTCACTCCAGTTTTGGGGATTTTAGTTTTAATAGTTTATAGTTTCTTCTGAGGGGTCCTTAAACAAATGTAATTCTACTTTTGTTGGCATTTGTATTTTGATTGTATCAAACCATATTTAATTGTTGTTTTTATTTTTCAGAAGTATCGCAGTGTGTCAGTGGGGGCTGAAGAATATATTTATGAACAAACAAGGTATGGCATAAGCTTTGAAATGTGTTGACTGGCATCATGTGGGAAAGTATTGAGGAGAGGCTGCCTGTATCCACTTTCCACCCTCTCTTTCATCACGCTGAGGCACCTGCAGGGCTCCCTTGACTTTCCCCTTCTTCTCCTGTGCTTTTATATCTGACCAGTTTATATCTTCATCTGTTATCTTACCTAAGCACCGTTTTAAGTTAGTAATTCTTCTGAAGCTCCCTGGAGGTATGGAGATTAAAACTGTTGAGAGAGGTCCCCAGGTAATAGGGCTTTGACAGTATCTTCCCCACCTTTCAGGATGGTAGGATACACAATTTTGATGTCCAGGGTGGTTGCTCTGGCTCCACCAACCTTATGGAATTCCCATCTTTATTTTTCCCTTCTCTTTTTTTCTAGCTACTTCTAGTAGGTTTTCTAAGAACACCCCATGACATTTTACACTGTTTGTTATACTACTTCATGTTTACCTATAAAACAAATGAAGCATCTGTTACAAACCATGTAAAAGACCCTAAGAATTCCAGAAGTTTTTTACAAGGTTTCAAAAACTGAAGTTTGAAAAGATTAGTGTCCTCCTTAAGCACAGAAAAATGCATGCACAGAATGAGCAAACATTGCAGAGTCACTTTAACTAACAAAGACTGGGATTAGTAAAGTTTACAAGCTGGTGCTTCATTTTATGTTTGTGAATGGTTCTGTTGATGTCTGAGAGTTTACTCTCACTTTAGCAACAGGAACATGCCTATGTATTTTTCCTAGAGTAGGCATATGACTGCTGCTGTAGTGGAGGTTCCTTACAGCTTGATCTTTTTCCTGAGGAATATTGAAACAATCAGTAACTGCAGTGAGGTCAGAACCAAGTCATTGTATAGGCAGTACATATGAAACAGATACTTAGCAAAGACTGCTCGCTTACTACATTGGATATTTGTAAAATTGAATCCTGATGCATTGGTATTGTTAACAATTCTCAGACATTGTCTTTCATGCTATGGCCCAGGTCTGCATTAGAACGAAACATCCAAATGCTCATTCACAAAAACAAAATACATCTTTCCTGGGAGCTACCTGGAAGTGATAGGTTCTCAGGAATGAAAACTTCAGGTTGAAAGAAAGAAGTGGTGAACATGAAAGTAATTGGAAGGCTGGTAGAAGATCCTTTAATGACTGCAGGGGGCTTTAGTTAAGACTCGTAGTGAGAATCAGAATAGTATTATAATAATTTGAGTGACTGCAATAAGTTTTAGGGGTAAGAGTAATCCTCCTGCTATAGGGCACACTTTGATTGGAAACAAGAAGAAGATTCTCAAGTATTACCACACAGAGATTGCAAAATCGGCCAGGTGTGGTGTGTCTGGGGCTTGCATTTTTTGACGTCTTTCTGAAACAGTGCCAAGAAACAGAAGACCAGACTGTGGCAGACTGTAGGCAGCTCTGTTAAGACACTGTGTGTCTACCTTTAGTTTATCTGAAGCCCTTCTCAGTACACATCCATGTCAGGCCTTCTGTGTGGAAGGAGGTTTTGAGGTGCATCTCCCAGGGCACTCAGCATGTTTGGTAGGCGCCTTGCTGTGCGCAACCTGCAGCCTCTTTGTGTGACAGTAGATCTGAGGATGTGCCCCCACTGCTGATAGGAGGTCAATCTGCTGGACAAGCATATGCAGCAGGATGGGTGCTGGGTCCACAGTACCAGTGGTTCTGCTCTTCCAGTCTGCTTGGATGGACATGTGTTGCTTGCCAGTGTTGACAGCGCCTCTGTTCCCCTTGCACACAGGACAGAGGGACTGCAGCAGCACACACCATGGTGGGTGGCAGTGGAGGGGAGTGCAGTCCCCTTCATGCTGCCTTCACATTGTGTGCAAAAACCTTTGTGTCAGGAGCAACTCCATTGTTGGGAAGTGGTGGTACAGTTGTCAGTGAGTTGGATAGGTATGGTTTTTTACCTTAGGTGAAGTTTTTTGCTTTTTACCTTAGTTTTGTTCTGATTTGTAACTTTTAAGCAATTAGAAAAATGACTGGATTTCCATTTATAAGCTGAGAAACATTTAGAAATTGTATTCATTTGCTTGAATGATACTAAAATAAATAATTGATACTAAACTTTCTGAAACTTCTTACAGTGGATCACATTTTCTTCTGCGTTCTCTTCAGTGGGGATTTAAATGGTATTCATGTATTTTAATGATTTTTTTTTTCTATTGGATAATTAAAAATGTTTTTGTCTTCCCTTTATTTCCATATTGCTATGGCAGTGTTATGATGATCCAAAGTATTTGCTTGAACTAGTAAGTTAAACATGCATTCTTGTTTTAGACCAGGATAGTTGTCCTTTTGGTTCTACTCCAATATTGCTTAAACACTTTTGCTGAATTAGGACCTTTGTGAAAATGCTTTCCCCTGTAACTCCAATTTGTGAGGACATCCTGCAAATGACTCCTTGCATTAAGCTTCCAAATGCAGTTTGAAGAGATTTATTCTGCAAGGTTAACATTATTTTTTATTTAAGAGAATGTGAGGAGCTGCAGGCATCATTTTTATTGGATTATTGTTCAAGCCCATTATTGGAGGAGGCAGTTGGAAGAGGCTTTTTGAGAATGGTGTTCAGCTAACAGTTCACTAGTTAAAGGAGCTTTGACATTTCATGGTTCAAGAGCTGCTTTAAAGGTGGAAGGTTCTCCTTTGAAGGAGTGTCTTCTGAAATCTGACTTCTACCACAAGAGCAAACTCTTTTTCTCTAATTTTTGTCTTTTTCTAAAGGAGGGTTACTTGATTGCAGATACAACTAAATGCAGGTACTTTGTTCTGTCTGATTAATTTTGAAAAGACTGCTTGTAAAAACCTTGATTGCATGTTCTCTTTAAACAAATGAACCTTCTGGTTGTACTCCTTCTCTGCACTGTGCTGAAAGTAACAGTTGGACTTTCTGTTCTCCATGTCCATATTTTGTTTTTTTTGGGGGGTAGGTGTTTTGTTTTTTTTGTTGTTGTTTCCCTTTTTGTGATGCTCCTAAGTTTAAATGTCTGTGGAAGCAGCTGATTTCCTGTAAATCATACTAAATCTCCTCCCGGTATTTGACACTCTTAATGTGGATATGTAGTCTTGTACTTTTTAATTCTTTTCAGAGGAAGTAAAGATATAGTCTTTGATCCAAGAGACTTTAAGTCCAGTTGGTTTTATGCTTGATTGCCAGATATGATGGACTTGGAAAAAGAAAATTACTTTTTTAAATACCTGTATAACCTTTTCTTGCAATTTTATTATTAGCTTCTTCTGCCTTGCTTATACAATGCATGAAATAAGTGATAAATGGAGAGAAATAGAAAAGGAGAAAGTGATGTGGATTTTGTTGGTGTTTCTCTCCCTGTCTTTTCAGCAGCACTTTTCAGTACACGCTAGAAGCTACCAAATCTCTGCGTCAGAAGCAAGGGGAGGGGCCTATGACCTACTTGAACAAAGGACAGTTCTACGCCATCACCCTGAGCGAGACGGGTGACAACAAATGTTTCCGTCATCCCATCAGCAAAGTCAGGGTATAGTTCCATTTCTTTCCTAGGTAGAAATGCAGTTCTGCAGATAAACGCAGTTGTGGTTGGTTGTTTTTATTATTATGTTTTTTCTTGTGGGAGAGGACAAAGCAAACTTACTGTTAACACCTCGTGCAGAGGTGGGAGAGTCATATTGGTGATGTTCTCAAATATCTTGGGGTCTGTTTTTTCAAAGTGTGATCTTATGAGTTAATCATACACATAGCTGCCTCAGTTTATGAATTGGCAGAATGGTAATTGCATAGATACCGCACTTGACATTGGTGAATTTACCTTTGCTGTGACTAAAGAAAAAGTCAAAGAATTGCTGCATCTGCTGTGTAAGTCCATCTTCACTCACTCGTGCTCTTCAACAGCTGTTTTTCAGCTAAAATGTGAAGAATTGAAGCCATCCTTTGTGACATAACTTTTAAATAATTTACATAGCGTAAGTGTGAGCTTTCACTTGATGTTCACCCAGAAGTATGACAAAATGGATTACTTGCATCTTAGATTCCACAGGTGGAACTGGAGCTTGAGTACACAGAAACTGGGTGAACAGGCATTCTGTTTTCCCTGGTAATGTTTTTGAGTAAGCAAATCCTAACCCAGTAACCTTGCAATGAACAATGAGCTTCAGAGTTGCTGCCCTGCAAATTTCACCCTGAAGCTGGAAGGGCTGCATATATATGAGGCTGCAAAAGTGTCTCCATCCAAATAAATGAAGTACCAGCAAGATATTGTGACTGTAGTCGAAGGAACCAGTGAAAAGTCAATGTGAAGCAGACAACAATCTATGTTTCTATCATACATAAAATTTGAAGAGACTTCCTAAAGAGAAGTGATGATTTGTAAACCTGAACAGCAGTTAATTTTCAGCCTGGTTTCCTAGGGACATGAGGCTGATGATGGTGTTTTATTGTTGGCTGAAGCTGATTTAAGACTTCTCTGCTGCTGAAAAGTCTCTCTCCCTGCCAGCCACTTGTTCTTTCCCACTTTGTGGTGCCAGCTGTAGTACTTGTACAGCTACAACAGGAGTCAGGAGCTCACTGGTCTGGCTGAAAACCAGTCCTCATAAGTCTTGTTCAGTGCGCAGCCACATGAGTTTTGAAGCTGTGGCAGCAGAATCATAGAATGGAGAATTGTAAAGAAGAGATGAGACCATTTCTTTTAGAGGATGTACAGTTTACAGAAGGTTGTGAAACCACATGCAACTTTCATACTTTCATGATCATGTTCTGTTTGTCAGGCTCCCAGCCAAGGAACTGTTGAATTTATTGCCAGTTCCATACAAACCTGATAGGTGCAAGCGGTTCTCAAAGTATTAAACCTCTGTAAATTCCATATAAGTGTTTCATGGAAGAAAGATTGTCTCGTTGGTAGAAGAGCTGCAGTCTGTACTGTCAGTTCTGGTTCGTGCATCAGCTGGCCAGCCAGCACATACTTGATGGCCAGCCAGTATGCACATGCATAGCTCGGGACTCATCCACGCATATACCCACACAGTAGCAAGGCATGGGAGGCACAGTGATGACTTTCAGCTTTTATAGGTGGAACAGGGAAGGTCACAGAGCATGTGAAGAGTTATGGTGGTGACTGTGTGAACAGTCATAAATTGTGAATCAGTTGTGATCCAGCTCCTTGGCTTATGAAACAGCTTGATGATGTTTTTTATGAGCTTAGTGACTCAGGGTTAAATGAAAAATGGAAACAAAAGAGGATATTTAGAAGTATTTAAATTTCTGCTCTTTGTGATTTCTTTTCACTTCATTTTACCTAGTATGAGCATTCTTTCACTATTTTGTGGGTTTTTTTTTTGTTTGTTTTCCTGCCTACAACAGGGCTTTTAAAAAAAGCCTTTATTACACATGCAAAGTTTTTCTTGAAGTTTCAATTTGCTCCCTTTGAATCACACAGTTTAACAAAAGGAATTCAGATCTTGAACTGACAGAAAGCTCAGCAAAACTCAGTAGTCACGCTGATTTTGTTATTAATGCATGTATGCAAGAGTCCTGCTCCAAGCAAGGGTATTTGGACTGTGTATGCTAAACTTGAAAATGTCCTGCCTTTAGCCAGTGAGCCTAAACTCCGTAAGAACACATTCCTTTACAGTGTAATGTCATCTTCCAGAGTGGCAAGGAATCTGAATTCTCTGACTTTGAAGTGACCACTTTTTACTTAAGGGAACTTAGACTTCTTAAATCAAAGAATGCAATTAAATTCTATTTGGACTATCAAAACCATAATTCTAGGCCCTGCATTATTTTCAAACTACATTTCTTCTGCCCTGAGTCTTTAAGCACATGGCAATATTGCACTGGAATATAAATCAGCAATCTTTTACAACCAATATACTGAGGGAGGGTGGTAACTGGATCAGCATTAGAGGCATATCAGAGATTTTAATTTTTGTGTTTCTGACTATTAATTGTATTAACTGATGTAATTTCTGGTGTTGGTTTTCTTAGAGCGTGGTCATGGTTGTTTTCAGTGAGGATAAAAACAGGGACGAACAACTGAAATACTGGAAATACTGGCATTCTCGGCAGCACACAGCTAAACAGAGGGTCCTTGACATTGGTGAGTATAAGAGATCCTCTTATGTTGCAGGGAAGATGCAGGATATGGGAAGCTCTAGTACCTTACACTGGGATGTGGTGGGATATATTGGCAATGGCTGCAAGGCTTGTGCCACAGTTTTTAGCAATAGCTAGGACTGCTAGGACTAGGCTATGGGCTCTATGAAGGAAGCAGGATGCAGAGGGAATTGTTTTCAGTAGTCACAAAGAAGAGCTGCCTCTTGCATGCATACTTAGTGGTGTTTCACCTTCTGCTGCTAGGAAGTCAAGGTCTGCACCTCTGCAGGAGTGGCAGTGTTTGTTTCCTTTATTTTTTCAAAGGCTGATGCACTGTTTGATCCAGTAACAGCAGCAGCTCGCGTAACAGTTATGTTAGCTAATCAGGTGTGTAAGTGCAGCCTGAGAGTGAAGATAGCATCAATATGATGACCACAAAGGAGCACGCAGGACTCCTGCACCCCAGTTTTGGGGTCCTGTTGGTGTCAGGAAGAAGTGAAGAAGTGAGCTCTGGTGTGCTATCCAGAGAGACCTGTTTACTGTTCATCCCATCCAAAGTATTTACAAGCCACAACTGCCCTATCCACATGCTTGGGAGATTTTAGCAAAGGAAGAACAGGTTCCTGCTGCCAAGGAGCCTGAAGTTGAAATCTGTGGGAGTGTCTAGACATCAAGCGCTTCTCCCCTCCCACATGCAGTTTACACATGCAGACATCTGCAGCACATTCCAGTCAAAGGAGTCGGTAAGACCAAAGCAGATAAAGTCTATCTTGTTTTGACCGCCTGAGGGAACCAAACCATTGAATGGCAGGAATGAGAGGGGGCAGAGACGAGGAGGAGGGAAAAAAAGTGGTGTTACTTGAAGAGAGCACTGTTAAGACTTCAGGGTGATTGAACAGGGTGATCAGTCCCAAAGTGTTTCTACTCATGCGCTGCCTTTCCACTTTGAAATGCTCCAGCCTCCACTGAGGCATTATTTAAAGTCAGGCTATTTGGTCAAAGCAGCTCTTCCCGAATTTCCTCTCTGCCTCTTGTCTTATCAGTATAGTTCTGGCTGAACTGTTTTCTTTTTTTCCCTGTCCTTTGGGGTAGTTAAGGAGTAAAAACTCCACCCCAGACCAGATGACTCTTATGATGACATGTTAAAAGAGCAAGTATGCCGCGTCACAGCTATTTCTGAAGGCTGCCTGTTTTTGTGTGCTAGTCCCTACAAGCTTGTAGTGCTTGTGCTCATACCTTTGAAGGTATGTGCTTAGGAGCTTGTTCCACTGCAGTGCCAACACCCTCTGACTCCATTGCACTTGCAGTGTACCACTGCGTTTCAGTCCCCTTACCTGAACAAGTCAGTTTATGACACATATTCTGTAAAATAGTGCTCTGCAGCACAAGTGATGTGCATGAACTGTGTGTTTATCTGTGTTAAAGTGAATGTCTTTTGTTTCCGCAAGTTTGAGATGAAATAGGTCTGTGCTGACTTTTGAGGCGCTCTTGCGTACTAGTCTTTATTTGGACTGCAAATACGAGCAAAGGTGGTATAGTAAGAATTATTGATACAGCACTCCCTGACAGATGTGAGAATTTAAAGAGTTCTCCTCAGCGTTTTCAGAAGAAAGACTTATATGTGCTCATTGGTGTTTTCTGAGAACAACTGAAATATGGCCTTGGTTCCTACCAAGTACAATGTTTCTGAATTACATCTCACTTTCTTTGGGACCTGCACTGTTGTTGTGGTTTAACCCCAGCTGGCAACTCAGTACCACACAGCTGCTCACTCACTCCCCCTACTCCCTTCCACTCCCCTGTCCACCCAGTGGGATGTGGAGGAGGATCAGAAAACAGGTAAAACCCATTGGTTGAGATAAGAACAGTATAATAATTGAAGTACAATATAATACTATTAATAACAAGGGAGATAACAGAGAGATAAAACCAAAAACCCAAGCCAATAAAAAGAAAACCCAAACCCAACACGACAAAACAGCAATGATGCACAATACTGTTGCTTACCACCCACTGAACGATACCCAGCCCAGCCTGAGCAGTGATGGGTCCCTCCAGGGTGACTTCCCCCAGTTTATATACTGGACATGACACGCTGTGGCGTGGAATGCCCCTTTGCTAGTTTGAGTCAGGTGTCCTCTCTCTGCTCCCATTCAGCTTCTTGTGCCCCTCCTCACTGGCAGAGCATGAGAGACTGAAAAGTCCTTAATCAGAGTACGCATTACTTAGCAAAAACTAAACATTGGTGTGTTATCAGCATTGTTCTCAGACTAAAGCCAAAACACAGCACTGCACCAGCTACTAGGGAGGAAATGAACTCTATCCCAACCAAAACCAGGATAGTTGTGGATATTTGGCTTATTAGGGCAGAATGGCTCCCAACTGCATTTCTCTTACAAGTCTCAAGCTGCATTTAGCAAACTCCTCTTGTTTTATCATCAGATAATCTGAGCAACTTTATCCAAATTTGGAGTTCCACTTTGAGTGGAAATAGGGTAGAAGTTGAACCAGATAACCTCCAGGGGTCCCTTCCAAACTAAATTATTGTGTGGCTTTATGGAGATTTCCCTTTACATTAAAAATTCAGATCCCTAAAGAGCTCCTTTAAAGGAATACTGAGTTAATGTCCAAGCCCTGTGTAGTTTAACAGAGAGAATTAAAAGTCTATGAGGGAGATAAGCAAATGCCAGGATATGCCATGGACTACTATTTAATCAGGCAGTAAGAGAAGCTTGCTAAGGACAGGAGTATGTATTAGATTTGTTCCATCTTCAGGAGATGGTCTGGCAATCTGCTGGTAGCCTCACTTCTCTCTTATTTTGGATTTAGCTCTGGTTATCAAGTATCATAGAATAGTTAGGGTTGGAAAGGACCTAAGGATCATCTAGTTCCAGCCCTCTTGCCGTGGGCAGGGGCATCTCACACTAAACCATGTCACCCAAGGTTCTGTCCAACCTGGTCTTGAACACCACCAGGCATGGAGCATTCACAACTTCTCTGGGCAACCCATTCCAGTGCCTCACCACCCTCACAATAAAGAACTTCCTCCTTATATCCAATCTAAACTTCCCCTATTTAAGTTTTAACCCATTGACCCTTGTCCTATCACTAGAGTACCTAATGAAGAGTCCCTCTGCAGCATCCTTGTAGGCCCCGTTCAGATACCGGAAGGCTGCTATGAGGTCTCCACGCAGCCTTCTCTTCTCCAGGCTGAACAGCTCCAACTTTCTCAGCCTATCTTCATACAGAAGGTGCTCCAGTCCCCTGATCATCCTCGTGGCTGTCCTCTGGACTTGTTCCAACAGTTCCATGTCCTTTTTATGTTGAGGACACCAGAACTGCACACAATACTCCAAGTGAGGTCTCACAAGAGCATAGCAGAGGGGCAGGATCACCTCCTTTGACCTGCTGGTCATGCTCCTTTTGATGCAGCCCAGGATACAGTTGGCTTTCTGGGTTGCAAGCGCACACTGAAGCCAGCTCATGTTCAGTTTCTCGTTGACCAGCTCCCCTAAGTCCTTCTCCACAGGGCTGCTCTGAATCTCTTCTCTGCCCAACCTGTAGCTGTGCCTGGGATTGCTCCAACCCTGGTGTAGAACCTTGCACTTGGCATGGTTAAACTTCATAAGGTTGGCACCAGCCCACCTCACAAGCGTGTTGAGGTCCCTCTGGATGGCATTCCTTCCCTCCAGGGTATCAACGGAACCACACAGCTTGGTGTCATCGGCAAATTTACTGAGGGTGCACTCAATCCCACTGTCCATGTCACCAACAAAGTTGTTGAACAAGACCAGTCCCAACACCAATCCCTGAGGGACACCACTCGTTGCTGGTCTCCAGCCAGACATTGAGCCATTGACCACAACTCTTTGTGTGCGGCCATCCAGCCAGTTCTTTATCCCCCAAGTGGTCCATCCATCAAATTGATGTCCCTCCAATTTAGGGACAAGGATGTCGAGCGGGAAAATATGAAGGGTTAATCATGTATTGGGGTCTTCAGAACTGTCTGAATAGCCATAAATCAGTTCCATATATGTTTATAATCATTAGTATTACTTTAACTTAATGTTTGTAGCATATGTTTAACATCTGTGAATCCTTTTTAATCGTTTATGAACGCACCTTTTGTCTAGAGCATGACTTGGTCCTTAGCAGGCAGAGAACCAGCTGAACTTGGGATGTTCTAGTTCTGGGATCCTGCTATTCTGTCTTCTGATTGGGATGATGACTCTGCTTGTGCTGCTTTCCCTGGTGGTACAGGTCTGTCTGCCTGCCTTTTGCCTTGCAGTTATATTCTGGAGATCTGAGGAAAGAGAGTGACTTGTTCCCTCACTCCAGACGTGCAGGGGTCACTGCTTTCATTTGTTTTGCGTCCTGGCTGCTAGTGTGACTCCTGGGAGGAAGGATGGTTGAACAGATATATGCAGTACTGGGTCTGAAGATGCATTGACTTTAATAGGATAAGCATGTACTTACATGTAAGGAAGTCCTTGCTACTTGAGGAAGAAACCTGAGGACTTGACACTTAATAAGCAGGAAGGAAAGGTGTTTTCCAGAATTTAGCTTAAGTGCTGCTGTGGATTTTTCTGAAGGAGGCGGCACTTTCACTGTTTTTAGCTTAAAAAAAATCCCTCCCACTACAAAACCCTGATTTTTCCACAGTGTCATGCTGTGACATTCAATTGCTACTTTTATTTATTTTTTCTTTTAAAATCTACTCTGCTCTTGTGAGACCTCACTTGGAGTATTGTGCACAGTTCTGGTGTCCTCAACATAAAAAGGACATGGAACTGTTGGAACAAGTCCAGAGGACGGCCACGAGGATGATCAGGGGACTGGAGCACCTTCTGTATGAAGACAGGCTGAGAAAGTTAGGGCTGTTCAGCCTGGAGAAGAGAAGGCTGCTTGGAGACCTCATAGCAGCCTTCCAGCATCTGAATGGGGGCTGTAGGGATGCTGGGGAGGGACTTTTCATTAGGGACTGTAGTGACAGGATAAGGGGTAACAGGTTAAAACTTAAACGGGAAGCTTAGATTGGATATAAGGAGGAAGTTCTTTATTGTGAGGGTGGTGAGGCACTGGAATGGGTTGCCCAGAGAAGTTGTGAATGCTGCATCCCTGGTGGTGTTCAAGGCTAGGTTGGACAGAACCTTGGGTGACATGGTTTAGTGTGAGATGTCCCTGCCCATGGCAGGAGGGCTGGAACTAGATGATCTTTAGGTCCTTTCCAACCCTATTTTATGATTCTATATAGAATATAATATTGGATTGCAGCAAATACTAATTATTTAGAATCAGTAACATAATCTGACAAATACTGGAGTGGGTTCAAACATGGACAAAAGAGTGGGTGTGGAAGTTTTGGACTGGGGTTATTTGTGCTCTAGAGTCTTGTCCATATTTGTTTTGCAGGACAGTTTGTATTAATTATGTGCACAATACAAAACCTACTCCAGTGGTATGTAGTGCATGTGAATTATTAGTGTTTAATGTTGTAATTTGCCATAGTTTAATATGCAGTTTACCCAACAAAAAGGAAAGAATTCCTATAGAGCCAATTTCTTGCATGTGGAAGAACCCCAGTTTTCTGGTAAGTCACAACAGCAGAAGAGGAAAAAATGTAGTCACACTGGCAACTTTCAGATATCCTTGGGTATAAATGCTGTCTTAATCAACTGAGAATCCTTCTTTAAATAACTATAAATTGAGGGGAATAGGATGCAGTTCTGCTTTTAAACAGCATGTCCATAGATGCTCCATGAGATTTGTGTATGGCAATTAATGAAGTGGAGGCATGTGTTGGGGGAAGGGTAGGGCTGGTGGGAAGTGAGGTTCTTGACAACCTTTTAAGAGAAGAAAACATGTGTCTTTACAAGACATGTTGTTCGTGTCTTTCCAAAGTGCACCTACACAGCACGCCCATATGCAGCAGTCAGTTGCACAAGGCACTCTCTGGTGAATCATAAATTTAAGGCGTGGGTGGATGTGTGCACATGCATATTAAGCTACTTATGTGTCTTCTAAATCTTATTTGCATTCCCGTACTGAATTAAGATAGTGAAGCCAATTACTTCAGTTAGAAAGGAGATCTGAGTTCATGATGGGAATGAAAAGCCTACTGCCCTCTCAAACTGTATTCACGTGCTGCATCACCAAATATGTGTTGTTCTTATGGTCAGAGCAGTGAATTTTTACTGTATCCAAAACCATGCCAGCATGCCTGTGTTTCGTGGTGAGAGACAAGCATATTGATTGCACCTCTCAGATGTTAAAAAAATTCTTATTGCAGGCATGGTTTTGTTATAAATTAATTTAAAATTGTTATTACTTAGAAATTTATTTTTTTAGAGAGCAACAGTGTATTTTTAGAAGGGCAAAGGAAATGAATACTGAAACCATTTGAGTTTATAGAATTTCTATATTTATAGAATACAAAAACATCCTCTTTCTTTAACTGATTACAAAGCTGAGAACCAGCGTGCTTCTGAAGCACAGATTTAGGCAATATTAGGTCAAGATTGCTGCATGATATAAGCTCAGCCCTCTGGCATTGAGTCCAATTACAGCCCTCAGGGATTCTCAGGAAATGTATATGTCCCAGAGAGAGTTGATGCATTCACCTGAACAATCTGGAAGTTCCTTTAATCAAGCAGATATTACTTACTTGCAAACTGGGTCTTTCTCTTAATCTGTCATCAAAAAGAAAAAGGTGTGTTTGGTTAGCAAAGGGAGAGAAAAAGTGGGCTTGTTTTTTCTCATTATAAAGAAGACCTGGAAATTGTCTATTTTATGTGGTGTTCCACCCTTACTGTTCTGGGGGAAGGGTTGGGTCATCTTTGAAATTTGGGCTTCCTCCCTCTTGCTTTGCATTCCTTCTGAAATGTTAGCTCGTTGGTAGTATTAACAGCCCATGGGAAAGAAGTGTGAAGAGGCTGCAGAATTTGTAGTCAGACAATTTAAAAATACTTTGTTTGCTATTTTAGTATCATACACATGTTAGGGAAAGGATTTTTTTTACTTGTCTGTTTTGTTTTATTTTTAAAAAATAGAAATCCAGCATTCACGGCAGTAATTCCTGGGAGACTTCAAATGGCTCGACAAGAAATGTGCGCTACTGATAATTTCCTCCAGTGATAGCTCTTAGCCTTTTAGAAAGCTTCTTTAGCTTGTTTATTTACCTAAAGATTTAAATGTTTCAGTAGCTCCTAGACAATTTTCCAGATTTGGCTATTCCTTAGCCAAGCTAATGAATGTGCCCACTCATTCCCACTACAGTCACGGATTCCTTTTTAAGGGCAAGCAGTATTTTGCAAGAACATTAGCTGGTGATGTGTATGTATAAGACTAAAGCTGTAGTATATTACCTCTTTGCAATTAAGCTTATTAATAATTCAACACAAACAATACAAGTAGTAGTTTCGATGCATTAGACAGCCCAGCTGAAAAAGCAAAGATCTACTATACGTTGTAAAAGAGAAAGGCCAAATATTTTTTGTGAGTGTTTTGTTTGTTTGTTGTTTCTTACAGCTGATTACAAGGAGAGTTTTAATACCATTGGGAATATTGAAGAAATCGCATTCAATGCTGTGTCCTTTACCTGGGATGTCAATGAGGAAGCAAAGGTGAGGAAAAGCCATGAGGATGGCATCCTTATATAAGTACCATCCATCCTTAGTCACTGTTCCACTTTTCTCCTTTTTAACAAATAAGAAGAAGGGTGGGTGGAGGTGAGCCTGGCTCAGCCTCTGCAAAGCTAGCAAATCCACTGGCCCCAGGGATTCTGGCCATCTGTAAAAGGCAAGAGGGTGTGTAATGGTTGGTGGGATGATGTTGTGTTCACACCTGTGTCACTGACAAAGAGACTTCTGAAGAAAGCCTGCAGGGCTCTTGCAATGCAGTTTCTTACTTGTGACCTCTTAGTGATTTTTTTCCATTTAAAATATGCCCTGCCTGAGAAAGAGTAAAGCTTTTTTTTTCCTTTTTGCAAAGTCAGTTTAGAAGAAAAGGTGAACGTTTTCTTTCTCTTTCCTTTCTGTACTATTAGCCTCTCCAGTAATCAATATTCTGTAATCTAGACTATTCCTTCCCTTGTGTTGGTACCATTATTTTTTATTTTGCACAGACTATCCTTGTAATTGGGAATGAACATATTTTTGAGGACTGGTGCATTCTGTCTGTCCCTGGTGGTGTTTGAGTACCCTCAGACATGGGGTTTTGCATTCAGGGATGTGACTGCTACAGTGGAATTATAAACCAGGGATTTATAAACCAGAGAGCACTTCAGGAAATTTCTCACAGATAAGGTTATCCAAAGGGGTGACAGAGTGTTTCAGCTGCAAGGACTAGTGTAGGAGAAACGAGAAGCTGCCGGTAATTATAAGAAGTTGTCTCCTGGAAATAGGCTGTGTAAAATGTGTGGGGATAATGCAGAATTCCTGGTGATTTAGAAATAATAAACAACAAGCATTGTTGAGCTTAGCAAACTCCTGATACTCTTTTCATGTTGAATAGAAAGTGCCCAGAGTTCAAGTAATGCTAAGGATCTTTTCAAATACAGAGACATCTTCATGCATGATTCCTCACTGCATTTCTAACAAAGCATTACAGAGATTGCATTGCATTGCGCAAGCAAGTCGTCCTGTGAGAGACTGCATTGAGTACAGAGTGGTAGCATTAACACTCACTGTCCTGACTTGTTGACTGAAGGTGCTGAGGTCTGTACTAACAGGGATTTTCATCTCTGATGCACATTTTAAAAGAATAAAGCACTAAAGAAAATACAATAGCTGAAAACCACCTAGCTCTTTCAAAAGCTGGCCTTGGTAAACAGAGTTGTGCTTGTCCTGGTTGCTAATGGTGCTGTATTTACTCATGTAATGATTACATTCTCACTGCTGCAGATATTCCCCCATTATGTGATTCCATTTCAAAATACAGTGGTATGTTGTCCTCTGCAGTCACAACAGATGACTGCTATGTGCGTGTGATCATTATGCAAGCAAATGCAGGTTTGGGATCTCTAATGCAATGGACTTTCCCAAGGACTTTTACAGAAACACCAAGGGCTAGGGCTACCTTGCCCCACTAGCACCAACCCCATTGCCAGTGCTGCCAGTTCTTTAACATGTATACATTCACAGCTGCAAGCCAGACTTAGCAAGACACCATTTTGATCTACGAGCAAGACTTCCACTAATGTCAGGTGTTATGCTTGGCCATTTTTTCTGATCTTGCACCATTCATGTTGCTCTTGCCTTAGGTGCCAGAACATTAAGAACACAAGTCTTGCAGTGATCACTGGAAATATAACAGAGTAAGATGTTAAAATAATGGCTCTCTTACTGTTGCTGGATTAAAAAAGTGCCAGGAGTAAAATGTTAAGAAAGCCACATGTATTTCTGCAGGAAGTAGTCATTAAAATGCAAATTACCTTATGCATATTTATTTGGGGGGTTAGTTATCGAATATTTGAACTTTTAGGAGCTTGAACTGCAAATGTATTGATAAAAGTAAGAGGATTCATAACATGCTTTGGTATTGGGCTATCAAACATAAATCAGGTTGTACCTGAAAGCTTATCACCATGCACGAAAATGTTTCCTTCCCCACACGCATGTATACACGTACCCGCATGCTCGCTCCTGTTAGTCTAATACAATAACCAGTTGCACTGGGTCTGGGGATTCCCATAGGATGGCCCTGCGGTTGTTTGAAAGCTGTGGACTCGGAGGCACGTCACTGAAGGCTGTTTTTTTCTCCAGCAATTACTTCATCCAAGAGAAATGAAGAATTTCAAGGCTTAATTACAGACTCTTAAGCTTTTGGAATGATGATCTTTTAACTGGCTCCATTGTTTCTGCTCAGTGTTGTTTTCCCTTTTCAACCACAATTTCAAGATTAAAACTTAACCTCACAGGCACAAAGGCCTTTCTCTTCCGAGTCAGACAAAAGCGGCACAGAGCAGTTCTTTCCAGGGCCTCTGAGATCTGATGTGATGAAGTGGCTGAGAAGAAAGAAAGAAAACAGGCTGGTCATTGGAAATGCACAGGGGAACGATCTTGAAAAATCAAACAGAAGAAGCAGAAATCATCTAACAAAAAATCACCAAACCAAACATCCCTGTCTCTCCTGGGAGACTAAATTGTGCATCTAGGAAGACATCTGGAGCATTGGGTTTCTCACTTTCCTATTCGTCCTAGAGGGCAGGTGATTTAAAGCCAGGTTTCTCTTCCCCCACACAAGCAGAGCAGTATCCTCCTCCTGGAAGCCCATCAGGATGAGGGTATAACAGTGTGGGTGTGACATCCAGGATCTGCCTGCTAACAGTGAGCCTGCTAAGGGTTTGTAAGGCAGCACTGCACCTGGATTTTATGTGGAAGCAACAGACATTCAGAGTGTACAAGCAGAAGCCTCTCTCAGTACCATTAAGGGAACTGGGGTGTTGGCTCCAGCTCTCTGTGCTTTGTCCCTTGTGTTCTGACTGTTGCCTGGCAGAACAATTCACTGGAAGAGGGAATCTTGTACAGCACTGTTGAGCTATGGAATAATCTCACTGTTGCTTTCTGTGGACTAAGGGAGCCGCACCAAAGTCAGAAACACCAGTACACTAATTTCCTCAGCTGTATCTGGTCAACAACAGATACAAGGCGACAAGCAGTCCCTGGCCTTCTGGCAGAGCAGAGTTGGGCCTTGCACATCCTTATCTTTTTCTAGAACAACATCCTTTTGTGCTGGGGCCGTTGTTTAGAGGTCACTCTGAGGCTTGTGGTTCAGAGCAGGACACAGGGAAATGAGGGGAAAGGTCTACAGCCATGTCCAACTCTTCTTTATGCTTCTTACGCACAAACATACTGTGTGGCTAGGAAGTGAGGTAGAGAAGGCTGTCTGGAGACCTTGTAGCAGCCTTCCACTATCTGAAGAGGGCCTATAATGATGCTGGGGAAGGACACTTCATTAGGGACTGTAGTGATAGGACAAGGGGTAACGGGTTTAAACTTAAACAGGGGAAGTTTAGACTGGATATAAGGAGGAAGTTCTTTACTGTGAGGGTGGTGAGGCACTGGAATGGGTTGCTCAAGGAAGCTGTGAATGTGCCATCCCTGGTGGTGTTCAAGGCCAGGTTGGAGAGAGCCTTGGGTGACATGGTTTAGTGTGAGGTGTCCCTGCCCATGGCAGGGGGGTTGGAACTTGATGATTTTAAGGTCCTTTCCAACCCTAAGGATTCTATAATTCTATGATTCAATGAAGAACACTTTATGTACAGTCCATCTTTGTTTTGCTCCCATTATTTACTTTACGTATAAATATGCAACATTTATGGGCAAGGTGATTTGTTGGCTGCCTTTGGTTTAACCTGAATGCTATGTCTGGTATTTTTAAAAGGGTTCTTTAAACATGATGAGGAAACAAACAGCAGTTTACCAGGACTGGCTAACTTTTTAACCACCTTTTAAAAGTCTTTTCATGATATGCTAGAAGGTAGTTAGTTGCCTTGCTGATGCCCTACAGAAGATTTGCTACAACATCTGGCTGGTTGACAAAGTTCTAGTGGAGGCTTTTGAACAGAGAGATTAGTTTTGTTTTTGATAGACCTATATCTGCCTCCTTGCATTCTTACTGCTGACAGAAATTAGTTTGCAAGGAAGATAATTAAGAACCAGAAATCTCCTGGTCAAAGGTGACTATCTTTGTCATAAATCATGCCAGCCGTTTGAGATGCATCTTCTCTCTGATTAACACTTCAATAATTTAAAATGATTAGGATGATATTACTTCTGAAACAATATATTAATTGTATATTTTTATGGAAAGCACTTTTTAACCTTAAATTCAAAGTCATCTTAAAGTAGACAAAATTACTTTTCAGTGATACCAAGAAATTGCTGATATCTGCTAAGCACTACAACTTAGACATGCACAGAACAGACATTGGTGGATATGTTATTCAGGCAGATGCTGTCACATGCTTTTTAGTGTGTACTGTAGTTGTGTGCTGCATATTTGTTGTGTGTACTTGCATGCAATCATTGTCCTGCTATATTTAACTGATCTTTAATCCAAAGTATGCTGAAGCCTCTGGGAACCTTTCCAGTTATTTAATGAGTTTTGGCACAACCCATACAGTAATAAGCTGTTTTCAATGATTGAGTTATTTTCAGGATTAGGTTTTTGGATATTGTGGGCCAAAGTGAGCTATGATACCAGTGGGCACAACGGTAAAATCAAGCTTATAGAGCAGCACAGTTTCTAGCAATGATTCGTATTGTGGCAATTCATATTTCTTTAACGTTGGTAGTGTTGCTAAGGTCAGGTTTTGACTAGTATAAGAATTATTCTTAATTAATTTCCTTCTTAACTCACATCAAATTTCATATAATTAGGAAGGAAATGAACGTTTTCTCTACCCTCAAAATTTAAAGGAGGAAAAGATACTTCACTTTGGGCAGCTAGTACTAGAAATTATGTAGGATTAGACTTTGCAGCTGCTTTATTAAACCATGTCTGTGTATGCAAGCGTGCATATATAATATATATGTAAGTATATATATTATATAAATATATATTATATAATGCCAGGCAATATATATATATATATACACACACAATGTATCTATTAAAGAAGAGTTAACCTGTGGTAGCAAATAATGTTGAAATTTCAGTGTGTACAAATGGCTTGGTAAGTATATATCTGAGATTCAAGGCAAATGGCATTTTTATGTAGTTGCCAGGGTGGGGTGTGGGTTGAGGAAGCTTCAAAAGAGTAGTGTAAACATTTGCTGGAGACATTTGTATTGAAATAAAACAAAGGTCTTAGCTTTGTATGGGATTTATAAGGTAACGGCTGGCAGGAGAAACTATAAAACCACACTTTTTGTGTATACGAGGGGAATGATGGGATTGATGTTAGTCATTTGAGAGACAAGTCATTTAACTCTTCACTCTTACAGTCTGGAGGGATGAACCATTTCAAAATAGGATTTTGCAAAGACCCATCACCCATGCCTAGATTCTATGTATTGCCATAGAATCAATGCAATTTCCAGTAGTCAGTGGAGAAATTGTTTTAAGTTTCTGGTTTTGTTCTGTAACACACTTTTCCCTCCTTTCTGCTCTTGGCTCTTCCTGAGACAGTGGGAGCCAGAAATGTAAATATGTAAATAGTAATAAAAGGCTTATATTAGAAGTTTCGTAACAATAGACCTTTAAAGTGTATAAGCTCAGAGACCACAGCAGGAGTCATGTTGGCTGGATTAAATGATAAAAGGGGAAATGCATTTCTGAGTCTTGCTTTCTCTTAAGACATGTTACTGTGTTTGTGTCTTGTACATCACTAATTATGCTGCAGTATTTAACAAACAGTCAGTAATTCACATAATAACAGCTACACTTCGGAGGAACGCCTTCCCTGAAAGAGACAGTGATTTTTCTAGGCAGGCTCTAAACCAAACAGAAGAGTTGTCGTTATCTTAGGCCACTTTTGAAACTTTCTCAGGCACCAGATGTTTCTCCAAATGATTTTTTCATTGCCAATGGCATGCCTGAGCTGGAGACTAGATGGGTGGAACTCTGTCATTAATTGCTCTAATCTAAGATATGCTGACATTAAATAAAAAGAGACGTCACTATAACTACAACCCAAATGTATTCCCAATAGCAAAACATTGCTAAAATCTACTTTGCACAGGAAAAATAAAGTTTGTAAATTAATTCAGGTACAGCTATAGTCACATCCATTAAAATAGTTCTAAGTCAAGTGTAGGCAGGGCCCTAGGGAAAAAAAAGTAGTGATTTCTATTCCTGCTACTGTTATTTCTACTTAACTCTACGTTTTCTAACTGTTTAACTGTACTATGCAAGAGGCCAGAGCAAGGAGGACCTTAATCCTGGATGTTTTCCAGGAGAGGTAGAGGAGGACTGCATCTTTTCTGTGGCTGCCAGTGGGGTTGTTTTGCTCATTGTTGCATGGAGTGTATGAGTATTAAGGACAGAAGCTGCAAAGGAGGGGAAGATGGGGGTTGTAAAGGGCAAAGCAGGCTGTGCTTGGACAGGTGAGTTAAAATCATTGCTGCTTAGAGCAGGTGGCATGTCTTGGTTACTGCTTTGGGGAGATGAAGGTTTCCGGTCTGAATAGGGGACTGTCCAGATGGTTCTCCAGGTCCTGTTCACCACAGGAGGCTGCTGCACCATGGTGTTAAAACCGGTGCAAATCTTCGGTCATTCAAAATATAAAACCAAATCCAAACAAAACCTAAAATAAACTTTATAACAGAACTTAGGCCCTCTTGCCCTTCCGTTTGCACAGCCCCTCCGTTTTCCAAATCCAAAGTCAGTGTTGTGCTTTACAGGAAAGCTAACAGAAGATTGTGTGGAGACAGAAATTTTTCCCCAAAATAAATGATCTGTGTTAATTCAAATCCATCTGTCTGTGAGGTGCAGATGATACGACAGGAAGTATAGTGCACTTCATGAGCATGAACCTAAGTCACTGCTCCTCAGGGAGGTCCTGATGCATTGCAGTGTTGGACAAGGATATTGAATCTTACAGCATCAATCTATTATTCATGCTGAATAATCTGTTGTTGCTGTATGGAGACTCTGGAAACGACAGTCTGTCTTTCCCAGCCGCTCCTATTCCACTCTGTGTTTCTGGAGGCAGCAGAAGAGATGACACACCGTGTATGTAGTTGATTACAGTGGGACAAGATCTTTCTTTTACTTCTCTGCTGAGTGTGCAGCAAAGGTAGTTGATGCACAAACTGCTGGTTAGGTGCAAAGCCTGCACATCCCCTCTCACGTTTTAACCTACAGTTTGAAACCCCCTTGTGCACAAGTATGGGCTAAAGTATTCACTGAGATACTTTTGCTAAAGTATGGGCTAAAATATTTATTAGATTCTGTTTTATGTCAGACCTCATTCCACTGCTGTGTCTTCAGGCACAGTTTAAAGCGTTGCTGACACTGTAAAGGAGTCTGAAGGCTAATGAAAATTCAGGCCATTGTATTTCAAAGGTATATGCACCCATAGCCATGCTTACCTTTGGAGCTGGAGACCAAGTTGTAATATGAAACAGAAGTAACACTATCAGCTTCAAAATCAGAGTTTCACCTAGGGCCCTTCCCCACCTCCCTCCTTTCCCCGAAGTTAAAGTTCAACTATTTCATTTGTAAATGCAGGTCTGTGATACAATCAGAAGCAGAAATCCAGAGGGGCCATTAGCTCAGTCAGGCAAACAAGCTGCTCTGGCTCCATCATAAAAAAAACCCTGACTGTAATGTTAACTTCTGCCATTAGGGTAAAGTATTCCAACCCCCTGGCCCTCCCAGCCCTATCAGGGCCCTTTATTCTCAGCTGTCTTTCTCTTTCTGGTATATTCTGGTCACTCAAACTGTTGGTTTGGTTTTGGTTTTGGTTTGGTTTGGTTTTGGTTTGGTTTGGTTTCCCTGCTTGTGAATGGGGAGAGGTTCCTTCATGCTCACCCTTTCTGAATCCTCCCAGAGCCCAGGCACCTGTTGGATTCCCCTTTGCCCAGCAAGATGTGCATCAGGTCTGTTTGAGAGACCTGTTTGAGATCCCTTCCTGAGTGTACTCATTCTGCTGGAGCAGGTTTCACATCATCCTGGTTCAGGCTGTACATAGTGGTAGTTTTCTCTGTCCTTTTCCTTAGTTCACAGTTTCAGTGGGTTTTTTTGTTTGTTTCTTTCTTTCTTGTTTTTTTTTTTTTTTTAATTGAAAGTGAAAAGTAGAGTTGGGCCAATACATAATTGGCCCAAATTACTATGTAGTGCGTGCATTCCTCACTGGAAGAATAGCTGTATTTTTAATCCAGTTTCATCTCTCAAGTTTCATGCACACTATCCTGACTGAAAGATACCAGTGATACTCAGTTCACAATGCTTACTTTGCATGAGAATAGTCCTTGGGAGACTTGGTGGTGGGAGACCCTTCTCCCAGGACCTGTACTAACACGTGGCAGATGACACAAAGCTTGTCCCGTGGTAAGATGGAGATTAGAGGAGAGGAGCTGACTAATGGATATCAGCACACAAGTTGTAGAAGAAAAGCATGCTGTGGATTTTGGAAGGAAAAGCAGGCAGTGCGGTTGCCAGGAATGGAGGGCAATGTCAAGCTGTGTTGCTGCTACACGGTAAAAAGACTTTTGAGAAAAGGTAGGAAGTAGTTTTATGAATGCTTGAGAAGTTCCTCCCCAGTTTGAAAGACAGGGTGAAATGCAGTTTTGAAATTGAAGACTGACAGTGAAGGACACAAAGCAAAGATCAGGAGTGTCTTGATGAGCTGAAGGAAGCTGCTGATGAGAGGGTGAAAAGAGTTTGTAAAATAATAAAAAAAAAAAGGTTAGGACTTGTTTTTGCCACACTGAATTTGAATTGTGAGCTGTCAGAAGAGCAAACCAGACCAAAGGACAAGTGGAAAGGATGACACAAATGATCTTGCTATTTCTATATTAGCAAATAGTACAAACATACAGAATGCGCCTGTAGAGTGAAACATGTCAGGGCTAAAGACCTGACATTCACATGAGGCGCATTTTAGGAGGTTTTATTTCAGATTTTCTTTAGTCAGTTCCCAAAGACTGAGCAACCACTAGCACCTGGCGCATGTAAGGTGTACTCCTAGGACACATCTTCTGGTCTGGCTCTTCCACAAAGAATCCAGATCATGCACTCTGAGCTCCCAGGTGTGAACCAAAGCATGGTAAGTCGGGACAATCAAATGTTTCACCTCAAATATGAGCTTCTGATCCAAACTGAAGCACTGACACATGCCTCCAAAGTTTCTCCTTCTTCCTATTGTGGTAGCAGCTTTGCTGGACTTGGGACAGAAGCAGAGAATAAATGTGTGGATTGCCAGTGTGGGTCAAAGATGGGGGTATATGCTTTTATTTTCTTATTTGTTGTCATGTGTTTCCTAAGTTTAATGGTTGTTTGCATCACATGTTAAAAATAATCTCTCTGGCACACAGATTTTCATCACAGTGAATTGCTTGAGCACAGACTTCTCCTCTCAAAAAGGAGTGAAGGGACTTCCTTTGATGATTCAGATTGATACATACAGCTACAACAACCGCAGCAATAAACCCATCCACAGAGCCTACTGCCAGATCAAGGTTTTTTGTGACAAGGTAAGTGGAAAGCACAGTTGCCACAGATAGAGGAAGAACCTTGTTACACAGTTTGTTATTGCTATATTTTAGACCTAATTAAATGGTCTTTCTTTCCCTAAAGAATTGTGTTTCATGGTAGAATTTGGACCATAAATCTAACAGATCATCATGTAATTATTTTACTGCTTTTTTATATTTTATTTTTTTGGCTCTGATTCCTCACCTTGTAAGAACAGTTGGACTGCTTAAGGACAGGATGCTGCAGGTCGTGATATAAGAATATCAGAAAAGTGAGAATGTACAAATGTAAAGATCCCTACTTGGTAGGTCAGTGTTGATCATATACTTGCACAAGTGTCAATCTGATGTTACCCCTTCTGGCTCCAATAGCCAGAATAAGTAAATGTGGTGGAGAGGTCTCTGACAGAGAAATGTACCTTCCAGTAAAGGCCTGCTAAGCTCTCTTTTATAATACAGTGGAAAACTGATGCATTACCTAATGCAACTGTTTGAAGGGGTTTTCCCACTTGATTACAAGCCGTTGTTTTGGAAGCTTCAATGAGACTTTTATATTTCTAGGATTTTCTTATTAAAAGTAAACTACAAACTATATTAGCAGTTCCCATTTTGTAGTTCAGTAATTGTTACTTTTTTCTGTTTTGCACTCCCTCTTGCAAAATTTTCTTCCTTTACATTTCCCTACTTCTGTTTAAGATTTTTCAGCACCAAAACATAGATCATGCCTTAATGAGTCTGACTACCTAATGAGGAGTGTCATGGTCAGCTGTCAGTGATGATTCTTAGAAGTGAGTGTGGCCACATTTCAGCTGCGTTTAACACCTGCCAGCCGATGACCTTAGCCCTGCTGGGAAAGGTCTTTCAGTGGGGAGCTGCTGCCTGGATTCTAGTCAAGGTTCAGGGATTCAGGAGCCTGCATCTATTTAAGTGACTTGGAAATTTATCCAAATTAGTCTTGCCATCTTACAGACAGGAACAGAAAGGCAAAAGGCCATGCCCCAGGCAATACGTAGCATTAACTTTTTAATGGAAAGGGTAAAAGTTCAGCTGTTCCAGCTCTTTCTGCTGCTGCTCCTTTCCCTTTCAGAGTTCATTCCCCTGTTACTGTCTTGACAAGGGGATCTTGAGGACTAATCAGTCAGTTGTGTTAGTGGAGCAAAAACTTTGAAAGTAATGAATGTAAATGTATGCACTGAGGTCTTCTTGCAGTCAAAATGTTATGCTTTCAATTCTAACTTTGAATGTCAAATATTTAGAGATTTGAAGCTACAGCTGGATGTTAAAAGCTCAGTAAATATCAAAGTAACAAGTCATTTTCATCTACCTGTTTTTGAAAAGCAATTAGGAAAATCTGAATTATTTAAAAAAGGAAGGAAATTCAGAGCACAAACTCATCAAGGGTGACCTGTAGACACAACTGATGGAGATTTTCAATAATACATGTTCATTGCATCTATTTGCTTAATTGGTACTTCAGATATCCAGCAGGAAATGAATGTTGAGTCTTTTAATCAACACTGATTCAAAGTAGAAGAAAAAGATCACAGGGGTAGTTAAAACATTATCCACATCTAAACTATATTGAGAATGGGAACTAGAGGACTCAAGGGTGTTGATAATGGGATATGTATCTGTCTAATATAAATGTATACATGCACACAGAGCTTTTTAACTTAATGCGCGGCTGAAAATTAGTTGAATGAATGGAAATTATCAAGGTCAATTCACATGACAGTTAGTGCTAATTGGCACTGGGAAGGAGACGGAGGCGTTCTTCTCCCCTCTCACGCTGCTGTATCTTTACCGACACCGTTTGTCTCTGTGCTTTTGTAAGTAAATAAATGGTTGGAGAATTCACTTGCTGGTGGCACTGGGAGACGTGATCGAGCTCAGAGGAAGGTAGTTCATGGGGTGGGTGACCTCATCTTCCCAAGGTGCCAAAATAAAACCCTGGCACTGGTGAAAGCGCTGCTGAGCTCGCCCTCTAGTGACAGCGACAGGGTTTGCTGCTTGTTAGGGAAAGGCCGTGAAGCTGAGGCAATTATTGCCCGGCTCTTTCTCATGATCAAATAAAGAAATATTATGGGGCCACTGAAAAAAAAACAACAACCAACCAACCAAACATAAACACCACCCCCCTCCCCAACAAATAAACAAAAAAAAACCACCCCAAAACCCACCAGCAAGCATACAATATTTTTTATACATTTTGAGAGTGTGAATTCCACCGTTGTAACCCAGTCTGACAACCCTGAAGAGAAGGTGGTGAGAGAAGTGCCTGATTTATTACAATCATCTGGATCAGAGGAAGTGTGCAGTAAATTCCTCCCACCTAAGTACTGAAATGTATCTTAGTTGGAAATGTGGAAGAAAAAAAATGTTTCTATGCGTGACAGTGTTCTTGCAAATGGTGTTTCTGCAGCGATGGTGCCTCTTCAGGAGCACCAGGCACATTTGTATGTTAACTTGGATAAATCACAGGCAGAGGTGTCCAGTTTTCAATAAACAGTTGCTGATAAATCAATGTCTTCTAGCTGAAATGCAGTGTAGCTGTTGTGGAAAGAGTACCCCTGAAGAAATAAACCTGCATTTAGCTAAGTGGTACATATATATATATAGTATTAGTATTTACTCAAGCAGTTGCTTAAATTTAGTATTCGTTTACATGTAAACTAGAGAGTAGCACTGCCTCAGACCTGGTGTGTGCTTTGTGACATAAATGTATGAGATAAAGACTTCAAAGGTTATAATTGTGTGCTTGCTCGCTATTTATTCTCCAGTCTTTTGTCTGTATTATTTTCCAGTAGGTTATCTTCAAAGCAACTGGTACAGTGCACATCTTATTTGTCAGTGCTAATTCTCTCTGCCCTTGCAGTCTTTTTATCATGTGCAGATCACTGATGCTGCATATGATAAGAAAATACAGTTTTTATTCCTTAAGTAGGTTGTCAGGGAAACTTACCAGGCTTATTTATATTTATATATTGCAAGATGCTTTAGCCACTGTGTGAGAAGGAACTAGGGATTCAGAGATATTTTGATTTTTCTATATGTGATTAACTTTGCTGAAAAGAACCAGAAGCATTTGGCTTGGCAAATATAACGTTCCAAAATCAAATAAATGAATCCTGTTTTCTTTATACAGCTCCTGCCATCTTGTCTTCAGTGTGGATTGTCACAGAGAAAATGGATTATCGTAGCATATTGAGCAAGTCTAATTGCCTATTAAGCTTTAGAGAGAAGGCTGAAGTCTATGTGCCTTTCCTACCAGATGTGGAGTGCTGTGGCCTTGAACTAGGAACAGGTGTACACATGAGCTTCATAATGGTCGAGGGAGTGGTACTTATGACAATAAAGGCTTTGGTAGGCTGGAGCTATGATGCAAAACATAAGCTTAAGTGAGTCTAAAGCTTAAGGGACTTGGAAAAAAGTTATTTAGAATCAGCTTACATTCATAGGCTGTGTTTTTCTGATGGCTTGTAGCAGAAACACTTGTGTTTATACTAGGTCCATGCATCAATGAAAAAAAAATCAAAAATTCATTCAGTTTGACTGGTCGGAGTCTAATTTATAGTTCCCTATGACTGGGTTATTTCTTCTGTCCTGAAGATATGCAAATTCTGATTTATTAGATATGTGTCAGATAGCTCAGCTGTGAAAACTCTCCAGCAGAAATGCTCTTGTATGCAAAAACCTGATTGTGGTCTATTGTCTCAGCCTCTACAGCAATAATGTACGTTGTGTAGACTTGGCTGGCCCCTGCACTGTGCTATGTGGAATGCTCCTAGCTCAGAAGGGCTGGTAGGTAGTTTTGTGGGTATGGAGTTGCTGTATTTGTAAAGTGACTGTGGCACAAATGAGCACTGGCAGGTGGGAATGGCTGCCCTGCTTGGAGACTGCCTGCACCCCAGGGGAATTGGGGGTGTCTTGCCTTGGATGAGTGAAGACAAAGGTGTGAAGCTTTACCAAGGTCATAGCTACAGGGTGTATAAAAGAAACCAGTAAAACATATACTCTATTGTATATGAAAAGGCTGAGTCCTCCTCAGTTTCTGCTTTCCTGAGAGGAAACTTGTGCTTGCTGCCATGCACAAAATAACTTTCACATTTCATCCTGTTGCCTCAGAGCAGCAGCATGGCAGCACTGAGGTAGGGCTGTGACCACCTGACAGGGCTGCTGTGCAGCACTGGGCTCTTAAGGATGTGCCTTCTGCAGGACAGAGGCTGTGAGGTATACTTTTACTCCTTTTTGCTAAAGAAAAAGTGGCCTTTAAAGACACAAATAGAATCATAGAACTGTTTGGGTTGGAAAGGACCTTAAGATCATCTACTTCTAACCCCCTGCCATGCGCAGGGACATCTTCCACTGGACCAGGTTGCTCAAAGCCCAATCCAACCTTGCCTTGAACATTGCCAGGGATGGGGCAGCCACAGCTTCCTTGGGCAGCCCGTTCCAGTGCCTCACCACCCTCACAGTAAAGAACTTCTTCCTTATATCCAATCTAAACTTCCCCTGTTTAAATTTTAACCCATTACCCATTGTCTTATCGCTACAGTCCTTATGAATAGTGCCTCCCCAGCATCCTATAGGCCCCCTTCAGATACTGGAAGGTTGCTATGAGGTCTCCATGCAGCCTTCTCTTCTCCAGGCTGAACAGCCCCAACTTTCTCAGCCTGTCTTCATACGGGAGATGCCCTAGAATCAGTTTTGGTAGAGGCAGATCTCTGAATCCCTGAAGTTCCATGGCTGAGGTTAATGACAGCTAGATTGGGTCCTGGGTCTGGAGGCAATGTGTCTGTTAGACGCCTTCATGTTTGTTAAAGAGCCGTTTCTTTCTCCACCTTTTTCAGCCTTTATAGATCTATTGATAGATCACAGCCAAGAGTACACCTTTCCTTACATTCTTTTCCAGCTTGGTTCAATGGCTCATGTGTGAATTTTGCCATCTTGAGTGGATATTTTTTGCTTTCCTTACCTCCCTCCCTGCTTTCTTTTAAAGAAAGTTCTAATTTTAATTTGGAAAAAGATCTTTAATTTTGCATGTTGACTGTCTGGGAGCATATGGATCTTTAATACCCTTCACAATGTGATGATTTGTATTTATAAAGTAAATTAGGAGAACTTCAAAGGAGGTGTTGCTGCTTTTTATGTCAATAACAAGTTTTATTTTCTAAACTTGTTGAGAGTGTATTTACATAACAGAAGCCTGCAACTTCCCAGGAGTTCCTGGACCCTAATAGGGCAGTGCTACATTGCTTTCCAGTTTCTGGAGGGCTTCTCCCAGTTTGAAATTCCTATATTTTTCTGTAGGAGCCTTTGTACTGTTGGCAAGCTGTCAGTTTAGCCTTCCTGCACTGGCAAATCTCAAAGGCCTCTACAAAGCTGGCCACAATGGAAATATGCCACCCCCAGATGAGGTGGGTGGAGGAGAGTTTAGGAAAAAGCTTAGCACAGACATAATCCAAGATGATAGCGTTCCTGCAGGTGTTTTACGTCAGTACATATGCAAGGTATTTGGTCTGAGTGCTCTATCCATTGCAGGGGCGCTTGGCTCAGGATGTGGTGGCAACAGCCACAGGATGCACAGGATGTGGTGGCAACAGCCCCATACAGACTGCACACTGCCTGAGCCATCCATCCCATTTCATCCAAGCCAGCATGTGGATATGCTCCTCTTGCTGTTTCCAGTCCTGGGGGGATGCTGGATGTGCCAGCCTGAGTTTTGGGCATTGGTGATCCATCCAAAGGTGGTATATTCCCCACAATCCGGACAGATTTATCTAATGGGATGACCAGTCTCTATTTCAGCATTTCTGATGTGTGTTGCTGTAGTGCCAGGCATTGCAGGGTACAACGTTCACAGTGGTTCCTCTTTGGATAATATCTGTGGGTTGTTTTTTTTGCATCAGGGAGCAGAAAGGAAAATCAGAGATGAAGAAAGGAAGCAGAACAGGAAGAAAGGCAAAGGCCAGGCATCTCAAGCCTCGTGTAATAACTGTGAGTAAGATGTGCCTTTCTGGTTTGGGACTAAGTCACACTTAACATGCCTTCTTTCATAACCATGTTGCTGTGTGATCCTCCTAGCAGCGGAAGGGAAGTTGAGTGCACTCCCTCTGCAAAAAAAGAGTGATATCACCTTCTTCAAAACAATGGCTGACCTGGATTCCCAGCCAGTTCTCTTCATACCGGATGTTCACTTTGGAAACCTACAAAGAACTGGACAGGTAGGAAATGATAATGAGAACTGGACAGGTAGGAAATGATAATGAGAGGAGCCAGTGCCCCCTTGCTGTCTGGCTCTTGTGCTCTGAGGCAGGGTTTAGGAAAATAAATCACTGTTCCCAGGGACCCCTTGTTTGAGCTCTTGTTTTGGTAAATGTAGCTCCTGGTGAGTCACTTAAAAAGACCTTACAAAAGACAAGTGCCTTTCTAAGTTCTGAGTGCGAAAAAGGAGTTTATGCTTCATTAAAAACCAACTGGTTTGTGTTTGTTATGGTTTTGACATTCTTTTGCTAAGAAGGAAGAATGAAAGAGTCAGAAATTTCGAAATAAAGAGGTTGTGACTGAAAGTGAATGTGCTATATGGCTTGATGAGATAAAGTGCCACCTTGTGGTAGCAGTGATCCCCCTCCCTGTCCCTACGGAACACAAAGACCAAGCTCTTACATGTGTAAGGAGGTCCAGAGGAGGCTCACTAAATACCACTGCCCATTTTGTGTCAGCATCACCTGGACATCTGGGAATTTCTTGGAAGAAAATGTTTTCACTCTACAAAGTAAAAATCTATCATGCTAATGTTAATATTCAGTATTGGCAGTCATTATCACCAGTAAATGTGAAGAAGTCTTGGCTGACTTGACTTTTTAAGGCATGCTTTATTACTTGCTGGGAAATTGCAAACCTGAATTGAAGGGTCAACTCTGGCATTTTTTTGAATATGAACCTGATATTTATTGACAACTTGGAGAGCAGAATGAGACCTTTATACGTGTGTTTATAAAGACAAATAATAGATGAGGAAATTTTATATGCATCTTGCTGCCAAATATTAAAATAATGAAGTTTAAATGATAGTGAGTGTTGGAATTGTCATTTATTTTAAAGCAGTGAGATTTGTGGTAGAGCGAAGCACAGGGAGTGCAGACACTGCAGTCACAGCTGTCACTGATTGACTCTCCAAAATTGGAAAGACACCCACTCACATACATATCAGTGCTGGTACCTTCTGTCCTCATGACTTTCAAACCAGAATGTGGATTTGTCTCGAAACAGGGGAAGGTGGAAGCATTCCTTGGTATATATAATCCTGTAAATAATTTTCTAAACTAACTGGAAGATGCCCTTGTTTGCTAGCTCTTGAGCAATGTTCAATCCTGTCTCTTTTGCTGCTGTAGAAGTTGAAGTTTTGGCATTCTTGCAGTCCTGAACTTGCCAATTTAATTGTATATTAGTTAACATAAGAATGATGTATTATGATAACAGTTTACTATTTATGAATGTTCTATTATGAAAGTATAGCCACTTTCAGGTCCTGATCACAGAATGAGTTACAGACCTCAACTTTGCATACACACGGGTCTGAGCTATCTTCATTGTACAGGTTCAGAAGCGAAGAGCCGTGTGTGCTCTTGAGTGTTGCCAGCACAAGTGCTGGAACCTGCCTGAGATTCCCTGCTCTGCCCCAGCAGAACATGGGGTTCCGGTGCCCTGCTTTGCCCCATGCTTGCACAGTAACTCAGCAGCTGGAATGCTGGTGCTATTGTTGGTGCAGACCCTTGGTGCAGGCACGTTGTGAGGAACTTGACTGATTGTTCTGTAAACCTTTTGACAACAGACTGTGATTTTATGCCTCCCCTGCTGTTAGCTGCATTTGCTGCTGTTGTCAGTTTGGTCTCAATGACTGTGAGCTATACTGATTTGCAGAAAACAATGGTCTGGACTTGAGCTTCTGCCCACAGCACAGTTCTGCTACAGTTCAGCTCTGCCATTAGTAATTGTATTTCCATTAGGGCTGTAGTTTATATGTTAGTCTTTATAGTTTAATTAGATTTTCAGACAATATTAAATACATACAAAAAGCTTGTGAGTGTTGTGGCTATAATTGTATTAGGTGTAATTCAGGTGAGCTGTGATCTAATTTAGAGGATCGTAAAATAGCTGGGAAAATGATATAAACCAGGGGAGGGCAATGTCTGTCAAAATGCTTCAGTATTTTTCCACTAGATGATTTTCAACAGCAGTGTTTTTAAGCTACACTTTTTCCAGATCACAATCAGAGCTAGAGATGTTTGTATTTTATAGAAGGAAAAGTATTTGTAACAGATAAAAACCTGGAAACCACTTGTTATCTTTTCTCCCTTTTGAAGTTATTCTGATAAGCAGGTGTATGAGTTTTGGGAGTAACTTTGTTTTTTTATTTCCCCACCCTTCTAGGTTTACTATAATACAGATGATGAGAGAGAAGGGTAAGATGTCTATTGTTTCACAAACTTTGCAGTTAACAGTTCAAACTCATAGAAAGCAGACACAAAACATGAAATCAGATAAAGCTGCTCCCCTTTCTCCCCCTATGTTCCCCATGTGCTAACAGTAGGTGAATAATATGGAGAACTGGTAGAAGGAGGTTTATTTTATAGTAACTTTGTTTTCCTTCAGGTGAGCTGGCTGCTTTTTATATCTGTTTTTTTATTACATTTCCAAGTGAAACATTTTAAAGAACCCCAAGGTTCAATACAGGGACAAGACAATATATTTGGTAATAAAATACTTACATATATAAATGAAGCGCTGAATTTCTGAAAGCATTCCTGAAAGCTGTTTAGCAGTGCACATGTACACATGTGTGTATGTATGCAACAAACAGTAACTGCGGAGAGAATACCCAAGTGTTCCAGAAGAGAAAGGTGGAAAGAGAAGAGGAAATCCTGGGAAGGGAGATGGTTGGAAATGGAAGCATCCATATTTGGCTTTGGAGGGACTGGAGGAATTGCATGAAGTCCCTGAAATAGTTATGAAATAAAGGCCTTAACATGTGTGGCTAAAGTTCAGCTAGTGTTAACTGCAATGTGTGCAAGCTTGAATCCTGAGTGAGCACCCTCAAATCTGAGAGCGTGGAGTAACGTAAACTTGGACTCACGTAAGCCTCCAAGTGTCCTGTGGCAGGGATTGGCCAGGCACCTGAAGCTAGCACTGACTTGAAAACACGAGGCCCTTTTTTTTCTTTTACGAAGCTAATGTTGTTCATAAGGCTCACAGTGGAATTAGGGAAACGAAGGGTTTGAACTAAGCACATTGGTTCAGTTCTCTCCTCCAACACTGAAAGGAGGCAATGAGTTCTGCCAGAGTTCTGCCAAGGGGAGGGGGCAGCTGTAGTGCCTTCAGCCTTCAGCTTCCCCAGCAGAGCGTTTCGCAGCTTTGGGCTGGATCTGGCCCAGCATGTTATTGCTTTCGAACTTGCTGGCATGTATGGTCTTCGATATTAGAAATACTGCTGGTGTAACCTGAGGCTGTCTCCTTGACCCCACAGAGAAAGTGAATCAATGTGTAAATGTGGGTTCAGCTCCTTAGCTGTTTCTTTCCCCCAGCCCCTTCCCTCAATATTTAAACAGTTGAGGGCCTTTGGGGTTTTCAAAATAGTATGTAACGTTGGAATGTATTTCTCTGTCACCTGTCCCAGCCAATCAGTTTGAGAGGGCTGGAGAGTTCAGTTGAACATCAAAAGCTAAATCCTTGCTTTCTCTGGTCTGGTGCTGCTTGAGTAGCTAGTGGGGTTTTTGCCAGAGTACAAAGTGAGTCATGACTGCTGCTGTTGTGAGTGGGTCTCCTCCCCTGCTGGGAGCACCGTTACTGACATGGTTCCTGTTGTGTGTTTTCTAGTAGCAGTGTCCTGGTCAAAAGGATGTTCCGGCCTGTGGAGGAGGAGTTTGGTCCATCCCCCTTGAAACAAATGAAAGAAGAAGGCCTGAAAAGAGGTAATAATTCTTAACAGCTAGAAATAATGCTATGGTACTCATGACTTCAAGCTGGGAAGCGCAGGTGTGGCTTGGACCAAGTCAGTTTTTAGACACTAGTCAAATGTGGAGTAGATGGGAGAAGAGATCATTACACCTGCCAGTGTACAAGGAGACATGTAAACAAGTCCTAGTAATGACTTAGAAGCAGAAAACAAATTAGAAAGGACTGTGCTATCTCAAGAAGGGATGAAGACAAAAGTGTATATAAAATATAAAAAAAATGAGAAAGCTTCTTGATCCTTGGCCAAGCTACATAGTTCATAAATGTTCCAGAAGCAAATCTGTGGTTGTCTATTTTTAACTTCTGCTCATCTTTTCTGTTCTGGATGGGATCACAAGCAAATATGCAGGATGCACTGGGTCAAATACAGAGACCTAACGCAGGCAAAGCTCCTGCTGACTGCAGACTTGAATTAGACTGAATAAAACCTTAGAAATTTCCTAACAAATTAGAAATATAAGTCATGGAGAGACATCTTCCAGCAGACCTAACTGAATTGTTTAAGAGTTTGCTTCCCTTAACTGTTTTTACTACCCTGAGTGAATATGATGATCATGTTTCATATGCTATACCAATCCCTGTTTTCCAGTCTGCTACAATGAAGCTTAAGTTGAGTAACATTGAAGCAATGGTTTAGGTATTGCTGTTAAACTTTGCACTAAAGGTAAGGATAAGCTGACAGTGATTTTGTCCACAAAATCTGCTTTGTGTACCCTCACTTCCAGTGCAGTGCTATATGTGACAACTTCTTATACTGCCACAGTTAGACAGCCTGGAGAATATTTGCCATTCCTTCAATCTCATGAGTTCTGTCGTGTATGTTTATTGGAAACTCCAGGATTTTGACCAACTTGTATAACTCAGACTTGCAAATGTTTTGAGGTTTCCACATCGGTTTATGAGACAACAAAGCAACAAGGTAGAGAAGTGAGCTGAATTGTTCTTAGCTGCACCATTTGTAAGACTCATCTGAGCTTTAGAAACAGTTTCCCATGAGCATTTGCAAAGTTTCTCTGTTGGTTAGGGTGGTGTTCTTGAACGAGGGGAAGCATACAGGATGACAGGATGGAGACTGATTATCTTCCTGGACTAAATGTGAACATATTCTTGTTTTAAATAAATCCTCAATGAATTACGTGAGGTCAGCTGAGTGCAGACTTGCATCTGGCTGACTCAAGGCGTTGACCAAATTCACACTATCAGGGCTCCATCAAGCAGAATTGCACAGCCACAAGGGCTGCATAAGGAACTGTCAGAACTGGAAGCCTGGAATGCTGCCTGCAAGAAGGTATTGGTTTGCTTTGATTATTTCTGCCCTTTGCTGTGGTAAGTTGTTTTAATATCATCCAGAATTTGCAACCATTTCAAGGGGAAGATTTCAAAGAAAAAAAAAGTTTTTCACCTAGTGGCAAAACTATGCTAAGTAATTAAATCCAGGAGAGGCACGGGAGCAGGGAAGCTGGAGGATGCTCTCTTCACATCCCCTTCCTGTTCAGTGTTTCTTGCAATTTGGACTATGCTGGCTGGAGGCCAAGCCTCTTCCAGCGTGGCCTTTGCTCTTTGAACTTCCTGCCACAGGGAATTCTGCATCTGGGATTGTACTGGTGGAGTAAAGCTCATCTGAATCTGCCCATTTGACAATACTGTCTTTGCCACAGGAATCATCAGGAATTAAAATGTTTTGCTGTTTTTCCCAGGCTTAGCCATACTAGAAGCTCTTTTTGTTCTCCTAGGTTTATTTGGTCCAGCAGAATCAGTAACTCTTAGAAGAGCAGGTATAGATGGAGCACTGGTGTAATCTTTGAGAGAGAGCAGGTCTGATATGTGAAAGTATGCATTAAAAGCAATGTAATCGCAAGGCAGCTCGCTATCGGTAAGTATCACCTGGTGAGGTGTTCAGGTCCTGCTGAAGAACTGAAGTGACAGTGTAAGGCCTCGCCTCTGCCTGATGGACCTAATTGTAGTACTCTCTGGTGGAATCACAAGTATTAAGGAGCAGCATGCAAGAGAACAGATCTAAAGGGGTTTGCAAACCACTGGTAAAACAAGGTTCATATTCTCAGGTAGCTGTGTCTTTGTGGATTATTCCTTCATCTCCTTGACCTCTAAGGGGGATACAAGTGCTCAGTGCAGAAATGTAGAGTATGTTAATCTGCAGCAAGTGTGCAATGCAGCTAGTCACTTAGCTAGACTTGTGGCCTGTTCCTGTTTTGAGTTCTCAGAGTTTTCAAATCACTTTCCCTTTTGGATTTCATAGGGAGTTTCCCGTTGATTATAAATCCAGCAGCTGCATTACAGGTCGGGGAGATTTCCAGTCCTCTAGTTCTCAGCTTGAAGAAAGCCATTTTTTTGTCTATATATATTGCAAACTGTATTATTAAAAAAACTGGTGACAGCAGGATCAGGGGGCATCAAGTATGAGTTATATCACATTGTCACAACTATGGCTTGGCATTCAGTGGCAATGCTGCTGAGCCCAGTAGAGCCTTTGCAGCCCCTTTTCTTCCATTCTGACTGTGCTTGCTGCTGCATGCCAGCTGGCCTTCTCTCCGTGGTTATGACAGCATGAAGGCTTGTGGGGCTGCATTGTAAGCTGAAGCAAGGACCTGATTTGTCTGAAGAACAACTCAGAAAAAAGGGGTGTTTTTTCACTCACATCTGCTGTTTGAGAGAGTTCATCATCCAGGAAAATTCACTAAGATGGGCCAGAGTAACAGAGCATAAGGGCAGGGATGAGACAGGAGCTTCTTAAGGCATCACTGTCACCAGAAGTTATTTATGGAAGAGTGCCCTAGTGAATCAAAGCTGAGATTTTCACACCTGTTGGGGGAAATTAAAAACCAACAACCCCCCATATGTTTACTAATCCTGGCTGTCTGTGTGTGTAACAGTGATTCAAGTTTCCCGTTATCCTTGTAATGGATCCATCATTGAGCATATCATTGCCTGACATGCCAAGCACAAGAGATTTAAAGCTCGGCACATGGATTGTATGATGTCCCCAACTTTAACCTCAGATCGAGTGATTTTTTTTGCTCCATTCAGATATGTTTGTAATTATTCATTAATTACAGAAGTCCACATGATTGACAAGCCAGGAGTTAACAGGACAGCCCTCTAATCACAAGGAGATAATTACTGGTGAAAGTAGCACATTGAGCAAGTGCTTGCTCATGCAAGTGAACCCAGTAAAATCTAACTACTGATGCAGATTTTTCTTTTTTGTTCTCTTACATTCTGACAATTATTTAGGTTGTGACCCAACAGTAATCTCAGCTTCTAAGCCCTTTAAGAGGACACTCAGGCAGGTGCCAAAGAACTGTTAAAACATGGGTGAATGGGATGTCAGCTCTGCATGCCTGTGGTAGTAGTTTGAATTAGAGATTTAAAAACCCACCATTATCCTGCACATCTGGTGTGTAACCCAAGGCAGAGGACTGATCTGCTCATGTATTACATCTTTATTCAGTCATTTCGAAACCTGAGCAAAGAAGATACAAAGAAAGTACATTTCTCTGCAAATGGGAGTCCACCCTGCTACAGTCTTGACCTGAGAGTTAGGTTCCAAATAACTGCTTTTGCATGAAAAATACTATTATCTCTGTTGTTTAATCTGCAAGTCGTCAATTGAGTTACCTGGTGAAGATGTCTTTTAAAACCTGCAGTCCAAAAGATATCTTTTTCTGTGTACCAAAAAAGAGAGATGATTACCAATGTAGTTTCTCACTCAGACTTAAAATACCTAACAGTGCATGCATATTTGTACCTCACATGCAGCACTGCTATTTGAAAAGGCATTTTATTTAGGGAACAAAATAAGTTCTGGAACATCTTGGTTAACTTGCTACTTTATCCGTCATGCGAGATTACGCCTAACCACTTCTCTAGTGTTTATGTTTATTTGCTTTGTAGCTGCCTGCTTTGCTTTTGTTATGTCAGCAAGTTTCTCCCTCCTACCTGTACAAGTCAGAGAGAGGAGAACAGAGCTGGAGAGGGCAGAGCACTGTGCCTGTGAGCCACTGGTACCCAGCAGGACATCTGAGGGAGGAAGAGGACATCTTCAGGGGTACAAATGTCATTTGGGTACCTGAGCAGGTGTGGGCACACATGCAAATGCCTGCCTGCCAGCTGTGCTTTTGAATATCTCCCCTGTAAAGTCTCAAATGACTTTGGACTTGTTCTTTCCAGTGTTTATTTTTAGACTGGCCAGACCCATTTGCAGTCATCTGTGTGGTAATGCCAGAGAGCTGTTTCTTTTCCTTGTTGTTGATTTTGCTTTCAAAGGCTCAGCCAAAGGTAAACCAGACTCTAGCTTTTCTGAATGTCCTTTCCCAGCGTTTTGGAAGAAGCCTGGAGAGGTGCGAGACAAGACACAGTTTTAGGAAGACCTAGCTTGTGTGATTTGCTCTGAGCCAAGGACAGGTCCCCAGTGCTTTTTAGTTTCTCTGATTTCAGTAAAGGGAGGTTGAAATTCTGGAAGATATTCCTTACATTCCTTCCTTACATTCCTTCCTTACATTAAATTTGCTGCATCTTCTTTGTGTGCTTTCAAAGCAAGTATGATGTGTCTTCCCCATTTAGATCACTAATGATAGAAGAGCATATCTTTTTAAAGTGCAGACTGTCTTCAGCACTTCATTTTATCTGACATGGATTAATATTTGTTTTTCTACTCAGTGTGGGTTGTTTCATCTGTTCAATTGACTGAACCTTCTCCAAGTTTGACTTTTTTTGTTTCAGTGCTTTTGTATGTGAGGAAGGAGACAGATGAGGTGTTTGATGCTTTGATGCTGAAATCACCCACAGTAAAGGGGCTAATGGAAGCGGTAAGTATCTGATGTCCTCACATTGTTTCTTTCTTAGCCAGAAAATCTTGTGGCTTTCAACGTATTATTGAGATAAAACATAATCTAAAGATGAAATTATTCTCAAATACATTTAAAGCAAGAGGCTTTCTGAGGCATGCCTCTGAAATGCTGGCATGTTCTGAATTCAGTGCTGTCAGCAAGTTGCTGGGATTAAATAGTGTCATAGAGCTGATCTGTTGGAGACCTGTGCCTTGAGGAATGGAGGTAATTAACCAGTGTCAGGGATGTAGAGAGGTTCAGACTCCATTGTCTGAAGTGTTTCTTTCTGAACTGATAATTCTGTTCAGTTGCCTGTTGAATCTTCTGTAATGCCCATTGATTGTGTTCACAGCTGTCTTTTAAAGAAGAGGCGCAAGAATGCACTGTTTCTGTGTGAATCTATATGGCTTTTGTGCAATTGCTGTTCTTAGCATATCGGAAGCAGCTGCTGAGCCATTGCAGACTAGTCATTCATACCTTCAGTCTACTTCCTTCTCTAGCCCTCACTCACAGAGTGACCTACCTACCAGCCTGCCTCTTTGCTGCTTCTTTGACTTGAATTTTTTGCTTGCTATCTATGAATTGTGATAATTTCCACATTTAATCCTGTTCGTAGGAGCTGAAGGCTAGTAGATACGTGAAATTTGGGGAGGGAAGAGTTAAGAAGCAACCACATGTCTCAGTTCAGTGAGGGGACTAATGTGTGACTGATGTAGGAGCCGAGTTGATTTCCAGCCTTTCTTACATGTAGCAGAGAAGACAGGAATGGATGAAAGTGTCCCTAGAACTTTCCATAGGACTATTCCTAGAAAGTTCAGCTGAGTGTTAGAAGTGTGTGTACTCGTACTCATAAACTGTCACAGTGTCTTGTTGCATGTGGGCACTTCAAATGCAGTAAAGACTGAGTTATTTGGTCAGTATTTGGCCAGTAGCAGAAGGCAAAAAAGATTTGTGGGTTAATGAAGTTGTTTAAAGCACCCATTCAGATCAGGGTATCTCTGGGGAGAGTCAGCTGCATTCTAAGGATGTCCTAACTGTGCTTTCGCCACCACTGTTAGCTGTGACTGCAGCTCAGTTGTTATGCAGAGCACACGTGTAATAACAGCCAGGATTCACTTGAAGAGGCTGCAGTCTGATTCATGATAAGCTGTAACATAGTTCTGTCTTGTCTCTGTATGGAAGTTAAAAGCATGTTATAATCCTTCTATAAGCTTTCAAGCTAACATGAATATTTTATCTCCATTAGTCTGTGCCTCTCCATGCCTATTCCCCAGCCACTGTGTAACATAAAAACAAAGCTGGTGCAGAAGCAAGAGAGGTTTCTGCATACCTCTGTAAGCACAGCTACTGACTCAGTGGCATGTTTGCAGCACCAGAGAAATCTGATCTGTTGTAAAATGTCCCAGTTCACTGGAAGGCACACATTCAGAAAATTTGAATTCTCTTTGGTAGGATAATGTGGATAAATCGATGCCAAAAAGCTGTCAAACTGCATAATCTCAAAATTCTCTCTACAGTCATTTCAGCATGCATGTGATTTTGTAATTGTGCACATCCTAAATGCTTAACTCTAAATTCAGTATAAGAACTTAGAAACTGAGGCTCTGAATATTACAGAGCCCCAGCTAAGAGAGACAGCACCAAGGATCTGGAATCATACCCTCTTCCTTTGTTTATGTATTTTTGGTGTTTTGGCTTCGTTTTGGTTTGTGGGTTTTGTTGTTTTTTTTTTTTGTTGTTAATTGCTGTTCCTGGTCTGTGGCTTTCTTTTAATTTTCCATGATTAATGATACTGCTTTCTCAGATACTATGTTTATTTTATTCTCTCCTATACCCCCATTCCAAATGAACAATTAGATTCCTTCTCAGATTTCTTTCTTCTGGCAGATATCTACAGGTCTCAGGTTTCAGAGATACAGTACATCTCAGAATGTGATACAACTGTTTGGCTTTTTAGATGTTTGCATCCTACTCTGGTCAGTCTTGATCAACAGAAAATAGTGAAACAATTGCCCATCACAAACCATTACACACATGTGATGACTGACCAGCTCTAAAGCCTGCTTTCAGCCTTATCCAAAATCAGGTTAACTTTGTGGATCTCACTAGGCCCCCAGTCTTACATTGTGCAGATTCATAGATTAATTCAAATTACAGAAGGCAATCTAAACTGGGAAATACAAGCATCTCCCAAAGTGTTGCTAAAATTACAACTGAACAGCTGAGCTTAACAGAGCTGGCTTAGACCAAAGTTTCATAGATACCTGTCTATGTATGTATCTTTCCAACCAAAGGAGGGTAACAGACTGGACCATTCCATAGAAATAAGTTGGAAAAGATGTTTTCCTACATGTCTCAACTAGCCCCAATGTTGCCCTGTCTTCCCGACTCCAGTAGAGAAATCATTTCTGGTGCCTTCTGCAATCAGATATGTGCTGCAGACAAACTTGCCATGCCAGGGGACTGCACCCAAAGGGATACCCTGACCGTTATTTCAGTGCCACTCTGAAGGCTGTCCCACTTTGTCAGGCATCCTAAGAGAAGGAAAGAATTCTTTGCTCAGACGATTGAAGAATGATAATGGAGATTATAAAGGAAAATATTCCTCCAAATAAAGATATATTTTTAAATGTTATTGTAGCCTGCTCGGGGCCAGGTGAGAAATCCTGTTGTTTTATATGGAAGTTGGCAGTAGTGGTGTTCCCCCTGAGTTGGCAACAAATGTGTTTCAGAAGAGGGTGTTAAGTGAGATGTCCTAGCAGATGCTAGCTCTTTGCTTTCTCAGATTCTGCAGCAGGACTTAGCACATTTGCACTGGAGACTCATTTTCTGAGCCTGTGAGGGGGAGGACCTCCCATACCCCTACTTCCAGCCTTGCTTCCCCAGCTTGCCGTTTGGTATAATTGGTTGAATCCCTAGGGGTTGCTGAGAAATGTGCTTATTCAGTCAGCTGGAAGTCTTTCACAAAGCTCATTAATCCCTCCATGTTATATAAATCCTACACCTGTCATAGGCAGTGTGACAGGCAAGGCTTTCTCAGACCTACCACTCATAGCTTATGTAGGAAGTGGTGTCCCAGAGTCCCAGACCACTTTGAGCAACATTTGGAATGTGTGTTAGGTATCCTAAATATCCTAGGGAAGTTTTACGCTGGAATGTGCAGAATGTTGTATATTAGCTGCTATTAAACCTTCTTGGCGCAGGAATGTTTCTCCTTGCTTGTTTATTTGCATGGAGTCAGTTAGTAGTGTCTTCAAGTACCAATCTTTACAATACCACCACAATATCACTTCAGAGTTATTAACCCAGAGAGGAAGGTATATTGTTTCCTTTTTGTTTGCACAGTTGTGACATTTTCTGCAGTTTCAGGTTGCAGTTTTTCTCTGATGCCTGTAATGAAGGATTTTTTCAACAATCTGGTGATTGCGGAAATTTTTATTATCACTTTACATGAAAGCTTTAATTTAGGGGTACAACAAAAATACAGACATTAAAGTTCAGCACCAGATTGCTGATCTGGCGTCATTCTGTTCTTGGTAAGCAAAGCTAGAGGTTGAGAAAGAAAAAGAGGAGAACATGAAAGTTTCTCTGAGAACTTTTCTAAGACAGTCAAGATTTACCCTCACAGTGTGGCACCTGGACACCCCAGAGGAGTCACCAGTCTTGGGTCAGGCAGCTGCAGCTGGACAACACAGGATGAGGCATTGAAGGAAGAGAGACTTGGAAAAATAGTGGTAGACAGGGGTAGAGTGTGAGTGAAGGGCAAAGTGTGGTTACCTACACAAGTACTTCTGGTTAGAGATAGGTGATTCCTTCTACTAGGGATCATGCCCGTGGGCCCTCCCTTGGATTCATGTGTGTAGGCTGGGTCAGGAGTTCACGAAGACTAGGTGGGGCATGCTGTCCCATTTGTGATGGAGAGTAGCTGGAATAGGTTAGGGCATCCCACACAGGGTTATGACAAACCCTGGGTCCAAATCACTGTTATTCTGCCCTCTTTGGAGCAAAGACTTGAACTTGCTTTAGATGAGGTATGTAATGGAGCTTCTGTGTAGGATGCATTTCTGCCCTGTGCATGTGGTTACCTAGCTTTTCTGTAGGCTACATAGCCTTTTGCATAGGCTACAGGAAGCTCAGAGTGAAAAAGATTGTTTTGTAGTCTGATAGGATGCTTGATATTGTGAGATAAGACAAGTGGCGTGAAGCCCCTCTTCTCCTAAGTGTATGAAGTGGACCACTCCCCACAGCAGGGAGAGTGTGACCATATAGCATGTGAGCTTGCGCAGCCTTGATGCTGAATTAGGCCTCTCTCAAGGCAAGGAAGAATATGGAACCAGGACTACAATCAGCATCTCTAGCACCATATCCAAAATGGCGGTGAAACAGCTGGTGCGAGTAAAACTGAAGTAGTTTACTATTGTATTTATACAATCCACAACTTATTTTGTATTTTATTCTCTGCTAGGTACAAAACTTAAGGACTGCATGGGTAACCTTATCAGTTACTCTTTGTTTACATCCTCCCCTTTCTCTTAGCCACAGATGCACACTGTGGTCAGAGGAAGCTGCAGTGTAAGAGAAGTTTTATTGGTTGTTCAAAATCTTGGAGTTGTGCTATACTTTTTAAATAAAAAATTGTATATCTTAGGTGAGATGACAATTATACAAATATAGGTGAGGTAGGCAAGTACAGGCTAATTAATTCTCTCTCTTAGAGAATTCTGGCTCTCAGGATGGGAGCCGTGCTTGGGTTCAACCTGTGGCTGTTTGAATCTGTCCTTGGTGCTGAGTTGATCCATTGCTTTCTTTCCATTTTCTACTTCATGATAATTGATTTAATTTAGTTCTCTAAATTATCACTTTTTCTTAATGGAAGCCTGAACACAAACACAAAGGAAGGATTTCACAGTGACTGGTGTTTGGCAGTCTTTAAATGGGTTTTTAATTGTGTATTTTGGTTCTCTAATGCGGAAGATAAGTAGTGTGCTATTTGGCTGTAACTTCATTTCACCTGGGAAGAGTAGGAAGCATAGTTCAGTTGGCAGTGGAGTAACACAGAACATTTATCACTGACAAAAAGTCATTTTTCTGTAATTATTTTCCATTATGGGACAATCCTTTTCTAAAGTATGAGCTGTGAGACCTGTTTCCTCAAAGAAGAGTTATGATTTGGAGCGGAAACATGGATCAGATGGAGAGCCTGGGGACACCATCTCCACCACAGGCTCAGAATGGACATCCAAAAAAGTTACTAATGCACTGCTGCAAAGCAATGCCAAAGAACCCCAGTGAAGTGCTTGTTGGTGTTGGTAATTTGTCAGCTGAGTAGTTCTTCCTTTTGGTGGAAGAAGCCTTTGCTTCCATGAGCTCAGAAAATCAGAGTAAGAAACAGCAGAAAGGCAGCTGATCAGATTGAAATTCCCTGGTAAGAGTGTTGACTCCTTGAGCAGAGCAGTAGGAGATGCTGAAGCAGTTCTGATGACTCACACCATATGAAAACTGTAATCCCCAAGTTTCTGTATGGAAATGATTGTTTTTTTCTGATCAAGATGTTTAGGATTATTCTCCCTGAATCATCCTTAAATGAAGCTATGGTATGGTTGCATGTGACTTTTCTGTATAGCTATCCTATCAAAATCTGCAGAGATAGTGTTTTAATGCCTTATGTGATGCAAGAGGTGATAATTTCATATTTGTTATTAGTCTTTAATGATAGTTTTGTGTATTTTTATGATTTCAGATCTCTGAGAAATATGGGCTGCCAGTTGAAAAGATTGCAAAACTTTATAAGAAGAGCAAAAAGGGGTAAGTGAACTAACTAGGGGCTATTGCAAGATCCTTTAGAAGTATGTGGAGATCCCAACTATGCCTGGGCCTCATGATGCTGGGTAGCATAAAGTCTTCTAGGAGACTTGCCCATATGCTTGAAATATTAATGTCTATGGAGGCAGAAAGGGATGGCAGAGGAGGAAATATGGATCTCCCGTCTGTGTCTGACCAGTGTTCACAGACTTACTGTGAAGAAACAGAGTTTGTGTTTGGAAAACATATTCGGATAAAGTCTGTTTTGTAGACCATATGCTTAATAACTGTGAAGCACTAGCATGGGAGAGGTGCTAGTGTGGAGTTCCTCTGCAGTATTAGGAAGAAGTAGGCTACTGTCTGAATCTGAAAGGCAGGCAGGCAATGTTTGCTGCAGGGGTTTCAGCTGGGTAAATTTAGACATGGGCATCACAGCTGTGATTTCAGAATAGCTAGGCTACTACTCCTCATCATAAATCTGAATCTCTTTACTTTAACATTTTTCGCTTCTAAATAACTGCAGTACTGTAGTGATATAATTTAAAATCTATCACTTATTTTCAGCTGTAATTCTAGCTTAGGGAATTGTGTCTGGGGATTTCTTTAGCTTTTGAGAAGACAGGTGAAACTTCTCATGTTTTGCTTCTTTCTAACACTGTTTCCAAGTGATATTTTCTTGGAAGAAACACTTTACAGTAAAAAGTGAGGAAAACACTCATATACACTTCTAATAGTTGTTGATATTCTCACATCCAAGCTGAGTCTAGGCCTGTGAGCTGTGTGCCAAGCACAAATTACACTGCTTCCTCATGTTAGCAGCGCACACCATGGAGGTGCAGCACCTCACGCAGTGTGGCTGAGTAGCAGCACGGAGGTGTAGCTGAGGGAGATACACCAGGCATGGGCAGCACCAGCTACTGTGTCTGCCAGGGATCTGGAGTGCAGTTCACCTTGTAGGCAGCTTAAGTGTGTTAACATCCCAGCACTGGCACGTCCCTTACCTTAACTACTTTGGGAAGAAGCAGCTTCTAATCCAAAGACTATGGGGCAGATCTTGATGCTGATTCCCGTTGTTGTCCCTGTGCTGGAGTCTGGTTTTGCATTGTAGTGAAGCGAGCACGTGCAGTGGAGTGCATGGCTTTCCCTTTCAGAGTCCTGGTATGTAAAAAGTGGTTTTTGCCTTTGTCACCAGTATCTTGGTAAACATGGACGACAACATTATTGAGCACTACTCCAACGAAGACACGTTCATCCTGCACATGGAGAGCATGGTTGAAGGCTTCAAGATCACACTGACAGAAATATAGCCTCAGGCAGAACCTTTTTGTAAGGAACCACAGCATTTCATCCTTCTTGGAAAGCAGAAGATTCCCCAGGAACTTGACACACATTGATCAGAGAAACTGTTACAAGACTGCTTTGAAAATACTGTCCGTTCTGCACATGTGCACTCACTGCATATAGGCTTGGGTTTGTCAGGCACAAGGCCACTCATGTTAACCTGGTCCCTTATTTATTGTTCCCCATTCTCTAATGTATGAGCAGTTACCAGCCCCCAGATTTGTAACCAGATGACCCACTGCAAGTGTGAAGTGCAGCATTTTAATCCATACTTTAGTGTGGACAAGCTCATTCTAAAACATGTTAAGGAACCATACTGGTCTAGTTTCAGAAATCTGGTGTAAATCACTTTACCAGTAGTTCTCTCCATTGTTGCTAAAAAACTGGTGCAGTGCTAAACATGGGGAAAGTGGCTGACAGAGTTCACTCACTCATACTGGTCCGTATCTCTCTCTAGTGTATAGTCTTGCCAAATACCTCTGGTAGTTCTCAGCACGTAGCAATGAGGACTTGTAAGTAAGGCATTCAGCTACAAATGTCACTTGTAAGTAAATGGTAAAGAAACCATTTTAACCTTGTATATAATGTTTATAATATGCAATAATATATTTTAACTACTGTATGCAGGTATGTTTACTGCCACTATGTTTTTTTATGTATTGGGTTTAGGCTTTAACAGGATCTTTCCTAGAGGATTAGATTGCTGAAATCTGTTGAGGAGTGTGTACTGAGAAGCTGATAACTGCATCTGCACCCATATGCTCCACCTTTGCCCACCTAGTCTTATAGTGCTACAGGGTCTGGAGTGCTCTGGCACAATGGTACCCACCTTAGGTGCCCAAGTCCCAGCTGTGGATCCCTGAGTGTCCCATCCAGCTGTCACCAAATCCAAGAGGTACCACGTGTCTGCTGCCTGGTGTGCCTAGAGGTACAGAAGGGATTTCTCCTGTTCTGTTGATGAAATGGAGACTCTCAAAGTGGGCTTTTCTCAAGCCTGTGGAGGGAAAGGTGCTTTCTGCAGCAGCCTGCTCATTAAAGCATTCCTTTAGACTGTAAGAAACAGGACTTAAAACTCTCCTTAAGGGTACTTGCTCTTGTAGCTCCATTGAATGTTTCTGTTTTGACTTTTAGGACAGTTGGGTGAGGTATAAACCTGGGCGTGATGTAAATATTTTATCAAAACTGGAACAATTTTACCAGTGGAGACTGAATATCCCACAGCTGAGGTGTGGAGATTGGTCTCTCTCACAAGGGCTGAATCTGAAGCCAAGTCGAACTACAGGGTTATCCTGTCAAATTTCACCACTGTCTCATGAATTCTGTGAAGAGAGAAAATAGTGCATGCTAAAATCGTAATAGGAAAAGGGTTCAAGGCCTGAATGTGTCTGTTCTCCCTCCCTCCCTCTTCCTTTGGTGTGTGGTCTTTCTCCTTTTGAGGAAGAGTTTTGTAGTAATTCCTGTATCTTTTTATAATTATGTACTCCAGCAAAGATGCTCTTGCTACCTTGCTTAAGAGCAGACATCCTGGGAATGCATACAGGGGATTTATGGTGGTTCAGCTTGTTTCTGCTTGGCTCAGGCTGAGATAAAATGTCTATGCTGACTTAGCCCAGATACTTTTTTCCTAAAGAAAAACAGAGGACAGTTTTGGCAGGTGGCATTAGGAACTGGGACCAGCACATAGGACTGGTGAGCACTGGTGTTAGTTCATGTATTTCTCTGTTTTTTTAACGGTGTTTGGGATCCTAAGGATAGCAGCTGGGCTCTCTCAGTTGGTCATCGTGTCTGGGCAGAAGCTGCAGGTGAAGCATAGAAGTAAATGTGTGCAGGAGTTGAGCCCTGGTTCAGCACTCAACCCTGCCATCTAAGCTTTCTTGCTTATAGGGAATGCCTGTGGCATCTGGGGCTGGCCTGGGTTGGGATGTGCTGCCTTAAGAGAGAACAGTGAGAATTTGGGTTTCACAGAGAAAGACGGGGATGTCTGGCAGCACCAGCACTCACAGCACCAGCACTCAGGTAAATGGAACGTTCTTGTCTTACACATGGGTGGAGATGTGCTGGGATCTGTTGGATGCTTCAGCATCTTGTACCGAGGAGCAGCGTAGGATCAGTAAGAAATGCTGAGGCTGAAGGAGCTCTTTTCATTGCCTTTCCAGGAGCTTTTGATCAGGTGCTGTCCATGGAAGGAGGGTTGCTTTCAAGATTAATTGGAAGCTTTTCTAAATACATCTTAAAGTGTGTGAATTCCTGGTACAAAAGAACTTGCACTTCTGCCTTTAGTTCCTTATACAGTCTCAGTGAAGGTAGCAGGGTTGAGGAAGATGAGTAGGATTTACCCTTATAGTAAGTTTATTTTTAAAGTAACAGCTAGAGCTAGTTAAAGATGGTCTCCCTTAGCTTTATCTGCTGGGGTCTGAGAGCTTCATTTCTCTGCTCCAGATGCAGATGCATTGTGAGCACCCAAGACATTACAAACAGCACATCCCCTTTCACACCTTCAGTTGTAGTTGCAGCATCAGCTGCTGCAGGAGCACTTGAGCCCTGGATGCCGGTCCTGGCCAGCTACAAGCTCTGAGGGTTCACCTTGTTGGTCAAAACCAGGCTATCAGAGTGATAGGGAAGGGCTAGGAAGAGTAATGCAAACTTCTGAAGCAGTGGCCTGCCTCATGCCCTGCTTGATTCAAAGGTCTTGAGGAGTACAAAGTGCTGGCATGCATATTGTTTAAAATACACATGTTGCTTTTGTTTAATGAAAAATATTGATTACTGCTGGATCTTCCAAATATTATGAGTTAAATGGAAGTAGGATTTGGCTGCTGTTCAGCAGGGGACAGGAATATCTGCCTTGCTTCCTTTATCTCTTCGTGGCACTACTGTGGTTATTTATTTAAAGGAACAAAACTCCCATTTCCTTTCCTTCTTCAAGACAGTAGTCTTGAATCTGAACCAGTGCAGCCTGAAGGGTGGCTTTCTCCTCAGCTTGTTTTCCCTATGAAGAATTAGAGCTGTGCAGCGTCTGTAGATGTGTGTCGAGAGACTGATAGAGATGTGCAAAAGGAAAATAGCCTTCGAAGCCCTAATTTTCATCCCTGCTACAGATTTGGCACCATGTCTGTCCATTCAATGTTTTATTATGAAACCCCAAACCTCAAATTTTAGTTTCTTTCTACATAGTCAGTTGCTGATATCCCCATAATCAAGTACATCCTTTCAGTGAAGCTTTGTTGATGTACAGTGGTGTCTCCATCAAGACATTTTGGAGGATTTTTACTACCGAATGTAAACTACCAAGAAGAGCTCTTTCTTCTTTCCTGTGTGTCCTCTCATGAAGTTTTCAGTCAATGGAATTCAGAGCTTGAGTGTCTTTCTTGTATGTTTTCCTCTTTCAGTCTACGAATTGTTTAAATGTTGTAATTTAATTCAAACAGTTATCAAAAACTAAACTCTCCAGCTGTTAGAGATGCTGTATATTGATTGATATGAACAGGACAGGAGTACCTTAGGACTTTTAAAATGTAAAGCTTATGAAATGTTTATATGCTCTTCCATTTCCTATGAATTGAGACAAGATACAAACAAGAATGTTTGTGCCAAAGTTTGTGACAAGCCTTCTTTCTGGCAAGCAAGGAAACTATGTATAAATAGTGTGCTTTTATATTAAGAAAATAGCTCATGTAACTTAATAGTGTTGCAAGTGGGAGAGGGGTTTGATAAACTGTAAATACAGTTATTTTATTTTTTTGTACATTTTTAAGAAGGAAAAAAATAAATATTCCTATGTATGAGAGAACAGTTGCGTGCTGAGGTGTGTATTGCTCCGTGCTGGGATTGAGTTCCCATTTCTGAGCCCAGAAAACTTCAAAAAGAAGAAAATATAAATTCATTCTACTGAGGGAACAAGAACAGAGACTGAAAAAAATAATCACCAAAAATGGCTTCAATGACTGGCCTGGTGGATGGGGGAGAGCAGTGCATATTGCCTACCTGGAGATCAGTAAGGCCTTCAATGCTGTCTCCTGTAAGATCCTCACAGAGAAGCTGTTGGTGTGTGGGCTGGATGAGCACACAGTGAGGTGGATTGACGGCTGAACTCCTGGGCCCAGAGAGTGGTGATCAGCAGCACGAAATCTAGCTGGACGCCAGTGACTAGAAGTGTACCCCAGGGGTCAGTCCCAGCCTGCTGGGGTGCAACATGTGCTCCATTGCCTGAGGATGGGCATCCCCTGAAGCCAGGCTCTGCTGGGAGCCTGTCCACTTCCCTGCCATGAGACAGAAGCCTTTGGCTTTGCACAGTGGGATGCACAGGCCAGCAAAGGTGGTATATGGAGGATTTTAGAATCCCCATGCAACTAAACACCTCCTTATACTTTGCCTTTTTTTACTGTAATTATGCCATAATACAAGTTGGGTTTAATGCTAAATTGTATTATGGCCTTAATGGGAGAGTGAGGAGAATGTGTATCTGGGGAAATTTGTCACACTGGAAGCTCGTACAATAAAGCTGGTCTGAAGGTGCACTGAGCACACAGGGTACCTGGACAATGTGACTGATGCTCCTCCAGCCTGCTTCAAGCCTGGATTAATGCGCAGTTCCACAAATAGTCTGGGTGGGGGTTTAATCTCAAGAGGAAATAGCACTGGTTTCAGTTACCGTCCAGCAGGATATCAACTCCTTTTAGCACCCTGGTGCTAATCCCAGCTCCACGTTTAACCTAGGTAAAAGTAGGTAAAAGTTTGAGGAGCTTAGGGAGCGTACACAGGAGCATGAGCCAGCCCTCTCGAGAGCCCGGCTGAGGCTGGCAGGAGCCCCTGCTGTGACAGGCTCTGCTGCCACCCCATGAGCCATGTTTCAGAGTGACCAACCACAGCTACCACCCCCCCAGCGCATGATCCCATCCCACATCCTCTTCCCTGACAGCAGCAGAGGCTTCCCTGAGGTTTGCTCACCAGTCCGTGGAGCGCCATGAGCCTTTAAGGCTCTGGTGTGAGGGGAGTAACAAGGCATGGCACATCACAGCTAGCTGCAGCAGAATGTTTATTAGTAGGAAAGGACATTTAGGGGGTTTCAGTCGGAGAATTGGTTTGAACCATTGGTATCCACCATACACTGGTTTTCATCAAGATTGTTCAAGGTTACATATTTATATAAGAAAACAATAATTCATATTTAGGTGCAATCAGTAATTCCAGTATGAAAAAGCACCATGTCACAAAACAGTTTACAATACAAAAGTCTTCAAAATCTAACATTTAAAACAATTTGTTCAACAGTAATAACAATACAGTAAAAAAATTCTTACTTCCCTTCAAACGATACTGCTTATATATTTGGCACTGAAAAAGAAACTACCACCAACTCACCTTTTTAACCACACAATGCTGTTTTGTGAGTGTCTATATACAAGGAAAAACATGCTTTTGAAGTCAGTTGTTTTGCCAGGAGCAGTTTGAACTGCTTTCTCCATTAAAAATGAAACAGCTATAAGAAGTAAACCTCCTAAGCTGCAGCTTGTCTTGTCTTTTGGCCCAGGACATGGTCTGGAGAAGCATCTCCCTGTGACTCGATTCATTGAGTAAGTCAGTCCTGCCTGGAAGGCTGGATCTGAGCCCCTCTTCCTTCTCCAAATCAGACAAGAAGCATAGACCTGAGCCCCCTGAATGGTCCTGTCTTTTAGAGACTTGACCCCGAGCTCTCACTGTGTATTAAGCACCCCAATAAGATTCTGACCCCAACCCAAACGTGCCAATAGGTTCTTTAATTGCTTAATTCCTCAAGATTTTAATTAATTAATTTTAGTCACCTGCACAAATAGTCTTAAAATGTGAATCCATTGGCTTTGTCCTGGTATAGCCAGCACTGCCAAGGAAATCTGAGCATGCACATGGGTGAGCTGAGGGAGAAGGAAGCCTGATACTTGGGCCCACAGGGTGCTCCGAGTTAGGGGACCCTTCTCTCAGGTCTCCTTGGGGGCCAGGACTTGCACATAGCAAGGAGGAGAGAGGACGGAGCTTGAGTTGGAGAGAGGGAAGGACAGAAAACAAGACTTTTCAGGAAGAATTCGTTTCTGCTGAAAACTGACCCCTGTTAAACTGAGAACACAGGTGCTATGCTCGGGGTGCAACACCCGTGCCTGTGTGCAGCTATGACGGTCCTTGAAAAGGCCGATAGATTCTAGTGAACATGCAGTCCTTGGTGCTGCCACTAAAAGCTGAACAATAAAAAGAAGAATCATTTAAAATAGTTTTTACATCTTACACCAAAGATGCCACTACGAGAACACAACAGTGTCACACATTAAGTAGTACAGTCTTAAAAATGCAAACCAACGCTGGTAAGACTTCTATACATTCTGCATATTGTATGTACAGAGAGAACAGTTTCTCAAGAGGATGGGCATAGAGAGATAATCTGTTTTGTTCTGAGTACGTTGCATAATACAAATACATTATCAGCATAAGAAAATTTTACTCAGACACTAAGAGTTCAAGAAAGGTCCTAACTGGAAGTTAATAACAGGGGAACTGGTGCACATGCTGGGGGGCACAAAACACATACTTTGCCCTTCGCCAAGTTCTCCACCTCCTCTGATGGCCTAATCCTCTACTCCCATTTTACCAGGTAGGTTTAACATGTCGCTCTGCAGTTACGTGCTTCCAAAGCATGCAGCAAGAGCTGTCCTCAGTCTCCCTGACAAGAGTCCTTTCCATGGGCTTTGCCTGGCTGACAGCTGGCTGGAGACTTGGAGTATCACCAAATTTGCTCACAGCAGAACCTGGGGGGGGGCAGGGATTAACACATCACAATAGCTATAGGCAGCTGCACGCAGGACACTAGCAATTCTAGACAGCCATAAGAAAAATATGAGGACCAAATTAATTTAATTCATAGTCATCCCTCTTCTTTCTGAGTCATAAAAGTCTTCCTTAGAATATGTAGGTTTGCTTACAAAGCGTTCACCTAGAGAGGTATCTGGTTTTGCCAAGACACAG